TCCCAGTTGCTCCTCTTCCAGTCCAGCTCTCTGCTGTGGCCCGGGAGGGCAATGGAGGATGGCCTAAGTGCTTGGGCCCTGCACCCTCATGAGAGACCAGGAGGAAGCACCTGGCTCCTGGTTTTGGGTCGGTGCAGTGTGCCGGCCGTAGCAACCATTTTAGGGTGAACCAACGGAAGGAAGACCTTTCTCTCTGTCTCTCTCTCATTGTCTAACTTTGCCTGTCAAAAAAGATAAAAATAATAAAATAATAATAATCATTCTAAAAAGTAAAATGAAAGCTTTTTGAAGTGCAGGTGTGTGGTGAAGTTCTGAGCAATTCTTGCCTCACATCCTGGAAGCAGGGATTGTGGGTCGCAAGTTCAGTGGACTTCTGAGTTTTGTCTCTCAGAGTGCCACAGGAACAGGCCTGGCACAAGGTGCTTTCTAGCCCTCCAGAAGAAGTGCATGCTTGCGGGCAGCTTCAGGAGCAGGCGTTTCTTGTGCACTTAACCCCTGTGGATTTGAGGGCGGTCTATTGGTGTGTGTCCTGATAGACCCCTCCTGGCCCCTGAGGCCTTGTCCTGAAGGTCTGCTGTAGTTTGGTGGCTTGTGGCAGATGCAAACAGAATTCTGCATCCATCTTTTGGCATAGTGGCTCTATTCCTAGGAATTTATAGGACAGTTACCATGCAGTTCTGAAAATTTGTATTTATAGACTATAAATATAAGATTATAGATGCTGGGGCTGATGCTGTGGTGCAGTGGGTTAACGCCCTGGACTGAAGCGCAGGCATCCCATATGGGCGCCAGTTTGAGACCCGGCTGCTCCACTTCCGATCCAGCTCTCTGCTATGGCCTGGGAAAGCAGTGGAAGATGGCCCGAGTCCTTGGGCCCTGCACCCATGTGGGAGACCTGGAAGAAGCACCTGGATCCTGGCTTTGGATCGGTGCAGCTCCGGCTGTTGTGGCCATCTGGGGAGTGAACCATCGAATGGAAGACCTCTCGCGCGCTCTCTCTCTCTCTCTCTCTCTCTCTCTCTCTCTGCCTTTCCTCTCTCTGTGTACTCTTTCAAATAAATAAATAAATCTTTAATATCATAGATGCCATATGATGCCAGTTATATTGAGGTATTCATTAGTATCCTTATAGTAATGGATATGCAGGTCCATGATCCCAAACTCTTCAGTCTAGATACACTTTGGAATCTAGTTTTTTAGATTTTAGAAAGGTAACATGATGGATACATCCCGTATTGTGTACATACCCTCAGTGGCATCTAAGTTTAAGCCATTATTATCTTTGCAGCAAAACATAAGGTTATTCATTCTAACTGGAATAAATAAGAACAATAAACTCTTTCTGTGACAACCTTCACTTTGTCCTTGGAATTCCTCTGTCTTTTTTTGGACAGGCAGAGTTAGACAGTGAGAGAGAGACAGAGACAAAGGTCTTCCTTTTTCCTTTTTTTTTTTGGGGGGGGGGGACAGGCAGAGTGGACAGTGTGAGAGAGAGACAGAGAGAAAGGTCTTCCTTTGCCGTTCGTTCACCCTCCAATGGCCGGCGCGGCCAGCGTACTGCGGCTGGCGCACCGCGCTGATCCAATGGCAGGAGCCAGGTACTTCTCTTGGTCTCCCATGGGGTGCAGGGCCCAAGTACTTGGGCCATCCTCCACTGCACTCCCTGGCCACAGCAGAGAGCTGGCCTGGAAGAGGGGCAACCGGGACAGAATCCGGTGCCCCGACCGGGACTAGAACCCAGGGTGCCGGCGCCGCAAGGTGGAGGATTAGCCTAGTGAGCTGCGGTGCTGGCCAGGTTTTCCTTTTTCCATTGGTTCCCCCCAACAAATGGCCGCCACGGCTGGCCAGTGTGCTGCGCCAATCCGAAGCCAGGAGCCAGGTGCTTCCTCCTGGTCTCCCATGTGGGTGCAGGGCCCAAGGACTTGGGCCATCCTCCACTGCCTTCCCAGGCCACAGCAGAGAGCTGGACTGGAAGAGGAGCAACCGGGACAGAATCTGGCACCCCGACCGGGACTAGAACCCGGTGTGCCGGCGCCGCAGGCAGAGGATTAGCCTCATGAGCCGTAGCACCGGCCAGAATTCCTTTGTCTTATTTCATCCTGAGTCTTGTGTACTTCTTTCCTGTTTACTTTCTTATTTTGGTAGAGGACATTTTCAGGGGTATCTTTAGGAAAGTGCATGATGAAACTTTTTTTTTTTTTAAGCCTGTGTATTTGAAATTAGGCTTAGTTTACCCTTTGCACTTTAGGGTTGGGTTGAATGTGGAGTTTCAGATTGGAAATAATCTCAGTGTTTTGAGAGTTTTGCCCCAATATCCTCTGGCTTCCAGTGCTGCTGTTGAAGTCTCTTGCTGCTGTCCCTTGTTGGTTACTTGTTCAAGTCTAGAATCCAGTTTGATCCCCAGTGCTAATGCTGGTGTTCTTTGGTGTGAGGTACTTTTGTATTTGTTTTGTTTTATTGTGCTTAGCACTTAACAAGCCCTTAAAATCTGAATACTTCCTAGTTGTAGAAAATTTTCTTCTGAATGTATATTTTTGATTCATTTTATTCCATTTATTTTCTCTCTTCTCTTTTTAGAACTCCTGTCCAGCCTTTCAATGTCTTATAACTGACTGACTGATTTGAAAGGCAGAGTGACAGGGAAAGAAAGATCTTTCATCTCTTTGTTGATTCCCCAAATGACCACAAGGGCCAGGGCTGAGCCAGGAACTCCATCTGGGTCTCTCACATGGTTGCAGGGCCCAAGCACTTGGGCCATCTTCTGCTGCTTTCCCAGGTACTTTAGCAGGGAGCTGGTTTGGAAGTAGAGAATTGGCACCCTTGACATGCCAGCATGGCAGTCAGCTGCTTAACCCACTGTGCCACAACTCCAGCCTCTGACCTTCTTTTTTATCTCTGTAGTTCTGCTCTAGTTTCTGAGATAGTTACATGCCTTTTGTCCAGCTTGTCCATTGAAATTTCCATTTCTGGTGTTAGAATTCCCCAAAGCAAATTTTTGATTGCTGAGTGGTGCTTTTATAAACTGTTCATGCTTTAGGAATATAATATTTTCTCTCATCTCTCTGAGAACATTAATCAAAGAAGAATTTTTTTACTTTCATGTTTTATTTATTTTTTAACCCAGCTGGATGCCTAGTTTCCTCTCAGGAGACATCACTGTCAGCGATTTCTTGTATATCTTTCTTGGATTGGTATATTTCTATGCATTTGATTGAATTTGTTTTCCTTATCATTCAGAATAAAGTCCTTATCCTTAACCTAACTCAGTAGGGCCAAAATGATCTGCCTCCCTACCCCGAGTCTTCCAGTCCCTGCCACCACTGCCACCCAGCTGTGCTGACCTTGCCGCCCTTGGCCCTCTGTGCTCCTGCCTCTACACTTGCCCTGTGGAACTGCTGTGGTGTGTTTGTCTGCCACAGTCAGCTGTATGGCTTGTTTCCTCATTCACGCATGGCTCTCTCAGTGTCAGCCTTGCCCCTTGACTGCCGTCTCAAATTTCAGTCCCCCTTTCTCCAAAACCCCACCACTTTGTCATTGTGAAATAAACATACAGTCAGAAAAGTTCACAATATGTCCAAGTGTTATATAACAGTTGATTGTAGAATGAACATTTGTTCTATACAACCCAGGTCAGTAGAACACTGCCACTTCCTTGGAAAGCCTGCGTGTATACCTTCCTCCTCACCTCCTATCTAGCATAAAGCAGAATCTTGAGTTTTTAAGTAATCATATTCTTGCTTTTCTTGCTAGTTTTGCCATTTGTCTATGTGGGCCTAATTAGAATTTAAAATTTTTACTTTCTTCTGCTTCCTGTTTTGTTTGCTTTCCTTTGAGTTTCTTGTCTGTTTCTCATGTTGGGGACTTTTCTCAGATTTCTTAATCCTGGGCTGGTTTTCGGTATTTGAAAGGAAAGCAATGGGATAGTATTTGGCACAGCAGCTAAGATGGTGGCTGGGATGCTCACTTCCCCTGTTGGAATGCCTGGATTTGAGCCCCAGTTTAGTTCTTGATTCCAGCTTCCTGCTAATGTGTACCATGGGAGGTAGCAGGTTAATAGGCTCAAGAAGTTGTGTCCCTTGTTACCCACTGGGAGACCTGGATTGAGTTCCAGGCTCCTGACTGGCCAGGCCAGCATCTGCTTTTGTGGGTGGTTGGGGAGTGTACCGGTGGATAGGAGGTTTCTCTCTCCCTACCTTTGAAATAAAATAAGGAAAGTGCTGGCAAAAGCTGTTTGCATTCTGAGGGAGGGAGATTTTATAGTGGTAAATTGCCCTGTTTGAAATCAGTCATTTCATTTGTGGCCAGTCTTGCCTTAAAGGAAGCCTCCGGTCTCCTTCCTAATGAGGTGTTGTGCTGCCAGCATGTTAGGAGTCAGACGGAGTGAAGTGGCAAAGGGGAGCTTACTGCTGGGGGGTGAAGTTTTATTTTTAATATGTGTATAAATATGTGTTTTTTTTTTATTTATTTGAAAGGCAGAGCTAGAGAGAGGGAGAGAAAGCCAAGTCTCCTTCTGAGTTCAGGGGCTCAAATACTTGGGCCATCTTCCACTGCTGTCCTAGGAGCATTAACAGGGAGCTGGATTGGAAGTGGAGCAGCCAGAACTCAAACTGGTGTTCATATGTGGTGCCAGCATTGCACTGTGGCAGCCTCGCCCACTTTTTACATTGCTGGCCCCATGAAGTTTCAGTCTGAGCTTTCTGGTACTCTAGTTCAGTGCTTCTCGCTCCAGCTCCTTTAGAGAGTGCATGTGTCCAGTCCTTCTTGGAATAGGAGAAGGATCAGTAGTTCTCATTCTCTTTGCTCAGTGTATGTAACACACAGCAGATGACTCCAGATAGTTAAAATTTAGGTACGAGCTGCAAAAAGTAGAAGCTGAGCATGAGACTGACACATTAGCTCTGTTCTTAGCAGAGTTATCTGGTGATAACAGACTAATCTCTGTCAGACATTTCATTACATATAAATGTAAGTGCAACTGTAATCTCTTTATCTCCATTCAGATCCTAGGACAGCAGATTAATGACTTCACTCTTCCTGACGTGACCCTTGTTGGGGAGCATTCTGACGCAGCCGAGCTCGGGAGGATGCTGCAACTCATTTTAGGCTGTGCTGTGAACTGTGAACAGAAGCAAGGTAATTTATTTGAAGTTAGCATATGCATTTAAAATAATTCAGGAAAGCAACATAGAGTGTGTATTTCATACATCAATCACCCTCAAAGAATGCCATTTTCCCTTGGTTTCATAGTCTTTTTATTTATTTATTTTCTTAAGATTTATTTTTTATTTGAAAGGTAGAATTACAGAGAGAGAGAGAGAGAGAGAGAGAGAGAGACCTTCCATCTACTGGTTTACTCCCCAAATGGCTGCAATGGCTGTGGCTGGGCCAGACCAAAGCCAAGAACCAGGACCTTTTTCTGGGTCTCCCACGTACCTGGGCCATCCTCCACTGCTTTCCCAGGCGCATTAGCAGGGAGCCAGTTTGGAAGAGGAATAACTGGGACTTGAACTGGCACCCATGTGGGATGCCAGCGTCACAAGTGGCAGCATAACCTGCTATATACCACAGTGCCAGCCCCTTGATGTTCTTGTGATAAATGTTTTAAAATTTATTTTATTTATTTGAAAGGCAGAGTTATAGAGAGAGGGAGACTGAGAGAGGTCTTTCACCCACTGATTCACTCCCCAGATGGCCACAACAGCCGGGGCTGGGCCGGGCTGAAGCCAGAAGGCAGGAGTTTCTTCCACATCTCCCATGTGGATATAGGGGCCAAATCACTCAGGCTATCTACTGCTTTCCCAGGCATATTATCAGGGAACTGGATTGGAAGTGGAGCAGCCAAGACTTGGACCAGCACCCATACGGGAGTCTTGTGCTGCAAGTGGCAGCTTATCCTACCCTGGGCCACAGTGCCTGGTCCCCTTTTGTCATAAATTTAATCATAGTCACCATTGTTTTCTTGATGGTATGACTAGATTTACTGGTCTCTGATTCAAAATTTTTTTTTTTTTTTTTTTGACAGGCAGAGTGGACAGTGAGAGAGAGAGAGACAGAGAGAGAAAGGTCTTCCTTTTGCCGTTGGTTCACCCTCCAATGGCCGCCGCTGCAGCCGGCGCACCGCGCTGATCCTGGCAGGAGCCAGGAGCCAGGTGCTTTTCCTGGTCTCCCATGGGGTGCAGGGCCCAAGCACCTGGGCCATCCTCCACTGCACTCCCTGGCCATAGCAGAGAGCTGGCCTGGAAGAGGGGCAACCGGGACAGAATCCGGCGCCCCAACCGGGACTAGAACCCGGTGTGCCGGCGCCGCAAGGTGGAGGATTAGCCTATTGAGCCACGGCGCCGGCTTCAAAATTTTTTAAACAATGTTTTAAACAATGTTTTTAAACAATGTTTCTTTTTTTTTTTTTTTTTTTTTCTTGGACAGGCAGAGTGGACAGTGAGAGAGAGAGACAGAGAGAAAGGTCTTCCTTTGCCGTTGGTTCACCCTCCAATGGCCGGCGCGGCCGGCGCGCTGCGGCCAGTGCACCGCGCTGATCCGATGGCAGGAGCCAGGAGCCAGGTGCTTTTCCTGGTCTCCCATGGGGTGCAGGGCCCAAGTACTTGGGCCATCCTCCACTGCACTCCCTGGCCACAGCAGAGGGCTGGCCTGGAAGAGGGGCAACTGGGACAGAATCCGGTGCCCCGACCGGGACTAGAACCCGGTGTGCCGGCGCCGCTAGGTGGAGGATTAGCCTAGTGAGCCGCGGTGCCGGCCTAAACAATGTTTCTTTCTAGCTTCATTCTTTTTAGATTTTACCATGTCATGGTCTTATAGTAAATTTTGTTTGCATATTAATTTGCCTCAAGAATTAATATTTTCTACATTTGATTATTGTATATTACTAAAATGTCTTAACAGGTTTTCTGTCAAAGATTAGAAGAGTGATATACATAAGAAGATTTAAAAGTAGATTAAATCTGTACATTGTTTTGATTTTAAGGTGAATGGTAAATTATAGTACTTTATATCAGATAATGATTTCCTATGTATCATGAAATTCATCAACATCTGGTTATCTCCTTAATACATGGAAGTGTATGGCTGTGAAGAGTTGGCTAACCCTTCTATTTAATGCCAAACAGCACTAAGAAAAGACATAAGATGATACCTGCTACCATATTCCATGAAAAACAGCACAATTGATCTATTGGGCTTCTCTGACAACACCTACATTTAGTTTTCCCCATGGAATTGTAGAAATGTCGAGGGAGCAGGAGGTAGTATCTCTTCTGCAGATTATGCAGATCTAGGGTGTGTCTACTCTCAGGAACACAGTGGAGGCTAAGAATCAAATAAGTTTCTAAATTAAGAATTAGCTGTCACTGGGTATTCATGGGATGCTTAAAATACAAACCTTAGAGAAGTGGCTGTGGGCTTACTACCTAACTTTGGACAAGACATTCAGCATTGTTTCCTTGTTTGCAAAATGTGGAGGCAAAATCTGGCAGATGTGAAGGTTGAATGAAACTGTATGTTTGCTTTGTAGTCTATAAGTTCATGCAAATGCACAGCTTCATGTTCCCATGTTTCCTATTAGCAGTGAGGAACAGCTGCTGACGACATTGACTCAATACAGAAATGTCTGTCTTTGCTCTCTGACTTTTCCAATTGGAACAAATAAAATGGTGGTAAATTTGAAAAGGCAAAGATTAGTAGTAGAAGACACACTGACGATAATATTTACTTAGTGTCTGCTTTCATTCTGATACTTCACTAGGCACTGATGACAAAAAATACTTTTTATAGCTTAGGAAACTGGGTTCATTAGTATTACCTGACTTGCCCAAGATTTCTTACTTGTGAGAGTCTAGGTGAGGACAAAAATCCATGTTTTTTTCCATATTTAAACTTAATATACTTTGTACTAAATTGTGATGTAAATTTTGGACAGCCAAGATCTCACAATAAGCTCCCTTACATAGCATATCATAGCCTACAGCATTGTCTCATAGATGTGCATCAGTAGTTACATATAATTTATTCTGAACTTTAAAGATCTGTAAATTTTTTTGAATAACATAGTTCTCATCATCATTTTGTCATTTAGCATTTTACGGTGTTCGCGGGGAAGGGCCTTGACGTGGCAACACCGCTTCTTAACTAACGCTTCCCCTCTCACACCTTACTAACTTTCTGCCTTTCTTCCACTGTTACTGTCTTCACATCTAGTAGGTTGTCATCAGATTTCCCTTCCCCATTACCAGTGCCACTGCTTCTTCTCTTCCATGTTCACAGTTTTTATTTTGAGGGCTATTTAGTCATCCTAGTCATATTAGTTTTCTCTGTAGCCTGTGACTTCCGTGTTTGGTACATTGAACAGATATCTCCAAGCACTCCCTTGCTATATTCCAGCACTCATAGGGTGATCTTTATTAATAAAACTAAATGAGCAATTGAAACCAAACTAAAAAATTATTTTTGACCAAATATTATTGAGTTATGATATATTCCTGCTGTTGGCGTAAGAACAAAGCCTGTGATTTAGTTATTTTGTGTGTATTTAAACATGTAACCAAACACTTGATTGAGCGTAAGTATCCTTATGATGTTTCCTTAAAAACAGTTTTTGATAAACTAAAAGTTTTGGCATTAACAACCAGAGTGTCATAATTTAATAGTGTTGTAAAAATAGCCTCTTGTTTTAAGCAAGTTAGCAGGCAGAGGATTGCAGTTTGGCATTCCAAATACACAAATATCTTCTCGATTTCACCGTAAGATCCCTTTGTGTAATACTTTGAGGAGTGAGCAGATTTTTGTATGTCTGTTTTTTGGATGTATGGGGTCAAAGAAACAATTGAGGCTAAGATTGATTCACTCTTTTAAATGTTTCTGATGAAAACATGCCTACCTTATTTGTAGGCATCCACCTGACCTATTGACTTTTCTATGCTTAATGTCGCTTTTGTCATCCACTGTTTAGACTGGAAATATTGAAAACTACTTCCAGAACTTTTTGTTTTTTAAAGATTTATTTATTTGAAAGACAGAGTTACAGAGAGAGGTAGAGACAGAGAGAGGTCTTCCATCTGCTTGTTCGCTCCCCAGATGGCCACAACAACCAGAGCTGAGCCTCTCTGAAGCCAGGAGTCAGGAGCCAGGGTCTTCTCCAGGTCTTCCATGTGGGTTCAGGGGCCCAAGCACTTGGGCCATCCTCTGCTGCTTTCCCAGGCACATTAGCAGGGAACTGGGTCAGAAGTGGAGCAGCCAGGCCTTGAACCAATCCCATATGGGATGCCAGCTCTGTAGGCTGGAGCTTTAACCTGCTGTGCCACAGTGCTGGCCCCCCAGAACTTTTTTAGAAGGCAAGAATTTAGAGTTTGCAGCCTCATTACCACTGTCAGCTGAAAGATCTTTCTCTTGGCTGTGGTAAAGATGAGGTTGCTGCTTTAGCTTGTTTGAGTTATGGGACATTACTTTAAAACCCAAGATTTAGTGTTTGTTTAACTCTGATGTTAGTATCTACCTTAAATTCCCAATTATTTGTCCTAAGCAATGCTCAGTTTCATTTTTTTTCTGTAGTAGAAAATATTAAGATAAGAATTATACACAAGTCAGTACTTCAGTGTCAAATAAGAATAAAGCACAAGAATTAGGAGTTGTTTCTGTGTAGTAAAAAATAATGTGAAAGATAATTTTTAGGTTTTTGAAAGTAGTATGGAGTCTTTTCCATCGCGCTTTGGCCTCTACCATTTTCCTGTTTCACACAGACACATATTCATGCTGATGCTACAACCCAGGACCTTGCACTGTTGCCTCAAACTTTATAAGGACTAGTGAAAAAGTTATCTTGGTAAAGAGGAAGACTCTGCTTCTTAGCCTTTCTGTAGCTGACACGTGGGATTCCTAGGAAGAATCAGAGTATAGGAAAGCACTTCTAAGGATTTTGGAGCAGTAACCTTTACTCCCTTTACTGTCTTTGACTTGAACAGTGACATTCCAGATTGTTCTTGTTTTCAGAGTACATCCAAGCCATTATGATGATGGAGGAGTCTGTGCAGCACGTTGTCATGACAGCCATTCAGGAGGTACGTTGAAGCTTTGTGCCTACAGTTTGGAAAAGTTAAAGGAATAGGCAAAAAAAAATTAAAGATTGTTTATTTGAAAGAGTTACAGAGAGATAGAAAGAGACAGAAAGAGATCTTTCCACCTACTGGTTCACTCCCCAGAAGGCTGCAAAAGCTGAACTATGCCAAAGCCAGGAGCTTCATCTGGGTCTCCCTTATGGGTGACAGGCACCCACATACATGGGCCATCTTCCACTGCTTCCCCAGGCCATCAGCAGGGAGCTGGATTAGAAGTGGAGCAGCCAGGACACAAGCTGGCACCCATATGGGATGCCGACATCACAAGATGTAGCTTTACCACAATGCTGGCCCCAAAGAAAAATTTTAAGGAAAGATTCTCCTACTTACTTTAAGGAAACTATTTTCTTTACATTTGTGATAGAGCTTGTCTTAATTTTTTAAAAATCTTAAGCATTTATTTTACAGGTACAGATATAACTATTCCTAATTTTTTTAGGTGCTCTTAATGAACCAGGAATAGTAGGCTAATTCCTTAAGCCACTAAAAAATAATACTAATAATAAGGTAGTAATAAATTAATCCAGCAGTCTACCTCACATTTAACTGTTGGTTTCTTGCTTGACAGAAAATGGGTTTTCACCTGTAAACATACCAGAGCAATGCCTGGGTGAATCATTATTTTAAATATAAAACATAACACCAGAAAGAAAGAATAGAGTTGGGCCTTTGGCCTAGTGGTTAAGACTGAATCTGGATTCACGTTCCAACTTCTTGCTAATGCTCATGCTGGGACCCTTTGTGAACATCTAGGGAACACACTTCATGTGCACATGCTCATTCCCTGTACAAACACATTTTTTTTTTTTTTAAAAAAAAAGGTTGGTTTATTTATTTATTTGAAAGAATTACAGAAAGAGGCAGAGAGAGAGAGAGATCTTCTGTCTGCTGGTTCACTCCCCAAGATGGCCACAATGAAAAGCCAGGAGCTTTATCTGGATCTCCCATGTGGGTGTCAGGGACCCAAACATTTGGGCCATCTTCCACTGCTTTTTCCAGGCATATTAGCAGGGAGCTGGATTGGAAGTGGAGCAGCCGAGACCTGATCTAGTGCCCATATGGGATGCCGGTGTTGCAGATAGCTGCCTAACCTGCTACACCACAGCACCAGCCCCCTACAAATATATATTTTAAAGTAAGAATAAATACAGTCTAATATTTGGTCAATCTCAGGATGTGAGAATGCTTTCTTTTTAAATATTTATTTATTTATTTGAAAGGCAGAGCTACAGAGAGGAAGAGGCAGAGAGTGAGAGAGATATCTTCCACCTGCTGATTCACTCCCCAAATGGCCACAATGGTTGGAGCTGAGCTGATCCCAAGCTAGGAGCCAGGAGGTTCTTCGGGTCTCCCACTTGGGTGCAGGAGCCCAAGGACTTGGGCCATCTTCCACTGCTTTCCCAGGCCATAGCAGAGAGCTGGATCAGAAGAGGAGCAGCCAAGTCTCAAACTGGTGCCCATATGAGAGGCCAGCACTGCAGGCAGTGGCTTTACCTGCTACACCACAGTGCCAGCCCCAAGAATGTTTCAGTCACAAGAGCAGTGGAAGGAATCCTATATTAATATGCATGAATTTCAAAAATTGTTTGCACTAAAATAAATTTTTTCTGTTCTCCATGAGATTTTTGAGCAAGTGTATATATTTGAAGTAAGTAAGCTTCTGAATTGTTTTTGTTAAGGCAAAACATGCATGGATTAGATCAGATATGGTCCCGAATCCATTTCTGTTGTTCTTTCCCCATGGAATCAGGACATGTCAATTCCCAGCACATCAGCATATGACAGTACACAAAACATTGCCACCAGAAAAACTCACCTGTGCTTTTATGTACATAATCTTTATTAGGATTTGATCACTTAGTAGGAGTAGGACTGGTGGAAACATTAGTCTTCAGGTTGCAGATTTCAAGGGTCCCTCCCCACTTCCTCCTCCCTTCATGATCAGGTTGATGTCAGGTATCTCAAAGCCCCAGCTTTCTAATCACCTGATTGGTCTTGCTGCATCACAGCCCCCGCCTAGAGTCATCTCCTTAGTGTAAACTGTGCAGGGGTGTGGATAGCAAAAACACTTCAGTCAGTGGAATGGGGAAGATACAGAGAGCACTTCCCAAGAACTGGAGACACCAGACAGCCAAATTTTTAATTACACAGGACTTTTCAAAAAATTACAAAACTGTTAAAAAAAGAAAATCAGTTTGGCAATCAGCAGTTGATGGTGGGAATGTAAACTAGTGTATCTTGTAAAGCTTTTATACCCTCTCACATGAGATTAGATTTATCATGAGTGTTAAAATATCAAAATCACAGCTACTACCCAAAGTTTAATTTGTTCTTGCCAGGTCCTGGTGGTTGTGGAAAGCTTGATAGTCATTAGGAACCCCCCAAAAAAGAAACAGTGACGGAGACAGAGGGAAAGAGACCTGCTGGTTCTATCTCCAAAGCCCTCCAACAGTCAGGAACTCCATCTGGGTCTGCCATGTGAGTGGCAGGAACCCAAGTACTTCGGGCTGTCATCCACTGCCCCACAGGCACATTAGCGGGAAGCTGGATCACAAGCAGAGGAGCCAGGACTCGAACGGGCCCCCTGATATGGATATGCCACATCAAAAGTGGCAGCTTAAACTGCCACACCACACCACCTCCCAGGTTTCTTTTAAGATGATAGACCTAAGGTCTGTACCGTCCTATTGCACAATTCTCCCATCTATTGGTTTAGCTCTGTCTACTCAAGCTCCATCTAGCACACTCACAGTTCCAGCCAGCAAGAAGAATTGAAAGAAGAATTATCAGTGTCCTCTGACTCATTCCCCTTTGCCAGATGTTACTGCATGGCCACAAAGGGAGAACAGGAGGTGCAGTGTTCATTCTCAGCAGTCACAGATCCAGCCAACATTTAAGGATTTTGCTTCCAAGCAAGAGCATGAAAAAGGAAAAGGGGGCACTAAAAACGGGGTACTGGTTCTCCTAGCTGCACGGATCCTGGTATTCCACTTTTAGGGATCTGTCATAAAGAAATGTGAAAAACAAGGATATATAATGATAGCAGTGATAAGAGATTGTATAGCCTCTATTCTATTACAGATAGTGCTGAGACTAAGCAGTGTGCATCTGATGACCTATTTAAGAGTCATTGCAGTTGTAGTGAATGCCTCTGAATTTCTATCTAGAAGCAGCAAATAGTGTGTAACGTATATTTTACCACAGTTTTAGAATATATGAACAGAATTTGCCATACTCCTTTGAGGTATGTGTTGTTGTCCCCATTTTATAACAGGAAACTGAGGCATAGAGACTTTTAGTAACTTGTTCAAGTTAATAAGAAGCAGAGGCAGTCAGAACTCACATCTGAGCAGTCTGAATCCAGATCCTGTAATGACTGTGCTCTGTCACCTCGAGATGATTTACTATCTCATTATCTTCCTAGTACTGAAACGTTGCAGGTAGCCTGACAACCTAGCAATAGAGGAATGGATAAGTAAATGATATATTAATAAATTGAAATATTATGTAGACATTAAAGTATATTTTAAAAATATTTAATGACGTGGGAGATATTTACTTAAGAAAAATGTAGGGTACAAAATAAATGAACAGTTACAGTCCCATTTCTGTTAACAATTGAATGAAAACAAACATGCTAAAATGTTAACTCTTTCTCTCCAAATTAATAAATGGTCTTTACTCTTTTGTTTTCAAATTTTTCTATAATAGTTATTCTATGAGGGACCTTCAGATTTTCATAGAGAAAATACTATATAGATTTCAAAAAATGTTGTAACAATACATTAAATCCATCTTTTTAAAAAAGATTTATTTATTTATTTGAGAGGCAGAGTTATAGAGAGGGAGTCAGAGAGAGGTCTTCCACCTGCTGGTTCACTCCCCAAATGGCCGCAACGACCGGAGCTGGGCTGATCCAAATCCAGGAGCCTGGAGCTTCTTCCTGGTCTCCCATGTGGGTGCAGAGGCCAAAGCACTTGGGCCATCTGTTGCTGCTTTGCCAGGCACTAGTAGAGAAGTGGATCAGAAGTGGAGCAGCTGGGACATAAATCAGTGCCCATATGGCATACCAGTGCTGCAGCTGGAGGCTTAATCTACTAAGTCACAGCACCAGCCCCTTAAATCCATTTTTCCACAAAATTTTTGAAGTACCTTCACATCTGTAACACTGCATTTTTTTAAAATAAAAATGTGTGGTCAAATGATTTTCACTCTATGAATCTAACCCAGAGAATTATTTTAAAATTCTGACCAAGATTAGATTTAACAATGTGTATGATTATTTCATGGTAACAGAAATGTGGAAAATGTATATGTCGATGAGCTAGCATTTAAATTATGGAACCTCCACCTAATGAAATATTTATATAGCTGATAAAAACGTTAAAAGGGTATCTTACAGCAGAGGGGAAATCTTTTTAATTTCAAGGGAATAAAACTATAAAATTGGATACAAAACAAAATCCCAATTAGATTTTAAAAATAGATTATGTATCTGTTCTGTGTATGTTCTTTTAATTCATTTAACAGCTACTTACTGAACAACCAGTATGCACCGGGCAATGTAGTGGACACTAGGGATACAACTGAGAGCAGCCCTGATGTGGTCTCTCGTCTCAGAGTGTCAGTCTCACAGGAGACATGGTTAAACAAGTGATTTAAATCAGTATGAAAAGTGCCATGGTGAGAAAAATATGGGGGAATTTAAAAGGAGTGTCCAACTTGGTGTGGGCCATTAGGTACAGTTTCACAAAGGAAGAGGGGCTGAGCACTGGAGGATGAGTTGACGGAAGGAAGGTGTAAAAGCTGTTTTGGAGGCCAGAGGCAAGAGAAGGCAAGAGACCTGCAAGATGTTGGGGGCATTGAAAGGAAAGTGCCTGTGGCAAACATTGTGATGTAGAAGGGGCTCAGAGGTGAAATTGGAAATGTAAGATCATCAGAACATTGGGCAGTTTTCTTAAGAATTGTAGTTTTGGAAACCAATGAGTAGATTCTTTTAATTTTTTATTATTATTTTTTAAATTTTTTGACAGGCAGAGTTAGACAGTGAGAGAGAGAGAGAGGGAGAGAGAGAAAGGTCTTCCTTTTTCCGTTGGTTCATCCCCCAAGTGGCTACTATGGCTGGCGCATCGTGGCCGGTGCGCTGCGCTGATCTGAAGCCAGGAGCCAGGTGCTTCCTCCTGGTCTCCCATGTGGGTGCAGGGCCCAAGCACCTGGGCCATCCTCCACTGCCTTCCCGGGCCACAGCAGAGAGCTGGACTGGAAGAGGAGCAACTGGGACAGAATCCGGCGCCCCAACCAGGACTAGAACCCGGTGTGCCAGCGCCAGAGGCAGAGGATTAGCCTAGTGAGCCGTGGCACCGGCCCCAGTGAGTAGATTCTAAGGAGAAAATACATTGAGGTCCATGTTTGAGAAAATCTGCAATGGAAAGTGTGGATTAGAACATGTACTAGTTAGGTTTGCGTCACTGCAGTGAATACCTGAGGCAGCTGATGTATAAAGAGAGCAGGATTGTTTCCTGCACAGTTTTGGATGTGAGGCCTCGGTAAGGGTGCAGAATGGTAGCACATCATGGCCAGTGGAGCTTACAGTGCCAAACAGGATGTCAGAGGGAGAGTGGCTTCCACAATCCCTTCCAAGAGATGCATGCTGTGAGTGATCCAAGGACCTCCCAAAGGTTCCACTGCCTCCAGCAGCACTACCTGGGGACCAAGCCTTCACATAGGGGCCTTTGGGAGACACTCAACATCCAAACCATAGCACAGGAAAACAAGGCTAGAGGAAAGGAGGCCAACTGAGAGACTTTAGTATTATCCAGTGATGGAAGCCTGAACTAGGTTATGATAGTTGAGGTGGAAGTAGACAGGTTTGAAAATTGATCATATGTAGTGACTCATTGGACCTGGGAGGAGGGCAAGGGGTCATCAGGATCGATTTGTGGGATTGAGAAAGGCCTTTTGTAAAATAACCCTTTTGGGGGCTGATGTTATGGCATAGTGGGTAATGTTGCTGCCTGCTACTCCAGCATCCCATATGGGTGCCAGTTGGAGTCCCAGCTGCCCCAGTATAGATCCAGCTCCATGCTAATGTGCGTAGGAAAGCAGCAGAAAATGGCCTAAGTCTTTTAGGCCCTGCACCCACATAGGAGACCCCAAAGAAGCTCCTGGCTTCAGTATGGCTCAGCCCTAGCCATTGGAGCCATTTGGAGAATGAAGCAGTGGGTAGAAGATTGTCTCTCTCTGTCTCGCTCTTTCTTTCTGTAACTCTGCCTTTCAAATGAATAAAAATTAATCTTTTAAAAAAAGGTCTTTTTTTCCTTAAGGCACATTATGTTTTTATTCTGGTACTACTGACTCTGATTTTTTCAATTACAACGAATGTTTTATTCTACTTGTGAATAAATGTATGTACATATTTTATTTTTATTTTTAATTTTTTTAAAGATTTATTTATATATTTTAGAGGCAGAGTTAGAGACACAGAGAGAGACAGAGAGAAAGGTCTTCCACTTGCTAGGTCACTCTCTAAATGACCACAACAGCTGGAGCTGGGCCTATCTGAAGCCAGGAGCCAGGAGCTTCTTCCAGGTTTCCCATGTGGGTGCAGGGGCCTAAGGACTTATCTTCCACTGCTCTCCCAGATGATAGCAGAGAGCTGGACTGGAAGAAGAGCAGCTGGACACAAACTAGTGTCCGTATAGGATGCCAGTGCTGCAACACTTTATCTGCTATGCCACAGTGCTGGCCCAGTTTTAATTAGTTTTTAGCAGATTCAATGTGCTTTGTAGATAGAAAGAACATAATGATATTCCCTTCTTCCTTTACCCCTCCCCTTCTCCCTCGCACCCGCCTTCCTTCTCCCTTTTTCTTTTTAGTTTTTGAGGTAACCTTTTAAATTTACATTACAGTAAAAAGGCTTACTACACCTTCACCACATAAGGAGTTTAACAAGTAAATGCTGATCCACACAGACATTTGTTTTTTCTTTTGTTTGTTTTCTAAATTTTAGTTTCCATATAGAGTCAGATGACTTTGTTATTGTTGTTGTTAACGCAGTGAAGTACATATGACATGAGATTTGCCATTGGTGATGTTTATTACATTCGCAGTGTTGTATGAACGTCACCCCGACGTAGTTTAGAACTTGTTCTGCACCCAAAAGAACCCCAGTACCTACAAGGCAATTACTGTACATTTCCTCTTCCCTCCTGCACCTGGCAACTTGTAGTTTTCTGTGTCTATGGTTGTACCTATGTTCCTTTAGTGAGTTATACAATATGTAGAGTTTATGTTTGGTTTCTTTGATTTAGTGTATTTTTAAGGTTTATGGTAGTATGTATCAGCATTTTGTTCCTTTTTATTGCTGGACAACATTCCATAGCATAGGTGTACCACATTTTGTTTATCCTTTCATTAGTTGGTGGCCATTTCCATTATTTATACCTGTTGGCTATTGTGAACAACATTGCTGTGAACATGGGCACACTAATTTTTTTGCTGGGACACCTATATGGATGGTTGATTTAGATGGTGGTTCAATTTAAGATCTATTTTGACTTTATGATGGTGCCTAAGTGATACGCGTTCACTAGAAACTGCACGTCAGATTTTGCATTTTGATCTTTTCCCAGGCTAGCAATAAGTGGTATGCTACTGTCTCATGATGTGGGTCCCAGCAGTCCCCTATCAGCCCCGTGATCATGGAGGGGACAGTTACTGCTCTGCAGTGTGCAGTGTTGCTGAGCTAGGATGTTCTGCAAGCCAAGCAGACTAAATGCATTTTGGCTTATGATATTTCCAATTTATGATGGGCTTAGCGGGATGTAACCCTATCATAAGTCAAGGAGCATCTGTATCTAGAAATAGATTGCTGGGTCATGCGGTCATTCTGTGTTGAACCTTTTAAATCACCACCAGTTTGTTTCTACAGTAACTGTACCATTTTACATTCCCACCTGCAGTGAGCAGTTCTTTTGTTTTTGCATATCTTGTTATTGTCCATATTTTTTATTATAGGCATCATTAGTGAGTCTGAAATGTTATTGTGGTTTTGAATTGGTATTCATTAACAACTTACGATGTTTAGCATCTTTTCATGTGTTTACTTGCTATTTTTATGAAGTTGATTTTTTTTTTAAATAGCCACATTTTTAACAGCTTGTCTTTCTAGTGATAAGAATAAATTATACTTGATTCGTAGGACTAGGCTTAGAATGAAAATGAGCACCAGAATCTGAACTTTAATTTTATTTTTTTATTCTGTTTCTTTTTCAAAGTTAACCCTATGACTAACATTTTTATAGGGACTTGAGAGGCACCTAATTAATTTTTTTTTATTTGCAAGGTACAGAGAGAGTACCCATCTTGTTCACTTCCGCCAGAATATTTATAGTGGCCTGGACTGGGCTGCATAGAAGCCAGGAGCCAAGAATCCAGTCCAAATTTCCCACAAGGGTGGCAGGAGCCCGATAACTTACACCATCACCACTGTTTCCTAGGGTCTGAATTGAAAGAGAGCTGCAGGCAAGAGCAGGAGCTGGGAATTGAACCAGAAATTCCAATTTGGGACACAAGGCATCTTAACCACTGGGCTAAACACTTGCCCTAGACCTCTGATTTTAAATGATGGCATTATCTTGGCATGGTGAAAGAAAGGGCAGACTCAGAATCATTAGGCTGGGTGTTCACTTTATTGTGTGAGTAATCATGTAGAATGTCTTCTTTGCCTTGTAATTCTAATCATCTGACTCTTAATTTCAGCTGATGAGTAAAGAATCTCCTGTGTCTGCTGGGAATGATGCCTACGTAGACCTTGATCGCCAGGTATAAAGCTTGCATTATTTCTGTTCATGCAGAGATGAAAAGTATAAACTTCAGCCATTAATGAGAAGGGTATTTCAGTTAAAAGTATTTATGGAATGCATTGGTATAACATTTTACATTCTATGTAAAAAGTAGGAACTTAAGGTACTTGCTAATGGATAGTTTATACATTTATAATTGAATTTATAAATTGTATTGGAAGTACTCTTGCATAACTCTCTTAAAATAACGTCTTTAATTTTTAATTCCTGTTTTCTAATCATTCTTTTCTGTTAGTAATATCTGTATGCTAATTTAACACAATAGTTGCATTCCTGGAAAAGGGCATGCATTTATTCTTCCAGTTTATTTATTTCAAGGATTTTACCATATTCTCCAACTGAAGATATCTCCCCCTGCCTTACCTTTCATATTTGTGAAGTGGTGAACACTCTAAGGAAGTGTGTGTGTGTGTGTGTGTGTGTGTGTATGTGTATGTATGTATGTATATATATACACACATACATATACACACACTTCAGGAATTCTGCAGTATTTTTTATACTTTTCATGGAAAAGCTATTTTGTAATTTTAAACATTGCCTCTTAATAAAAATCTCTGACTGTACCTCTCAAGTAAATAAAAAATAAAGAATTGTATTTACAACTCACATTCAGTCCGTTAAAACTAATTAAAATTAAAAAAAATTAAACACCACCTTTGGTTACATGAAATGCAGAGCTTTTAATCATTTTTTTCATGTATTGCTAACTTAGAGTTTATGTGATAAGTCACAACCAGGGAATGCTTGGTTTATATTGAGAATCAGAATGACAAAAATATTTTCTTAAAAATGGTGTTGTATGGATAACCATAAAGATTTGCTATGACTATAAATCTTGTGTTGAAATGTACTAGCTGTTTATTTTTGCAGTTTGAAATCCCTGTTACTCTAGTACATCATACTTTACCAAGGTAAAGTTTCTCACCTATTGAATAATCAATATTACCAAGAACCAAGTAATCCAGATAAAAGATACGTAAGAAAACCTGGCAGAGGGACAAGTCAAATTAAAAAGACAGAGAAAGCGAGACGTAGGACTCAAGGAAATTCAAAACTGGGTTCTTTGGACCCTTTCAGAGGAGTTCTTGACTTTCCCTGCACCATCTCCCACCAACCAAAAAAGGGGGAGATGTTTTAGTTGTATTTTGTACATATGTAGCTATTAATTGTTGCTACTTCCTATTGAAATACTTATCTCTTTATTTTTAACTAGTTGAAGAAAACTACAGAGGAACTGAATGAGGCTTTGTCAGCAAAGGAAGAAATTGCTCAGAGGTGCCATGAACTGGATATGCAGGTAAGAGATCTGTTGTGTCTGAAACGTGCCGCCACACGTGCTGTGTGTGCCCTGCAGTGCAGCTTGACGGTGAGGCAGCCCCGGAGAAGGGAGGCAAGCTTCTGGGGAAAGGCAGCGAGCTGTACAGAGCGTTCATTTCCTCTCTGTAACCCATTAAGTTCATGGTAAATGAATTAAAGTGGCATAAACCCACAGAAAAGGAGAGGAGAGGAGGGATGGCACCACAGATGAGTCTTTGTAGTATTCTAGTAAATCGGCTCTCAGGAGAGTGGGGATGGTTTTTAAGGCCTGGATTTGTAGTGTTTGCCAGTTTCTTTATTAATAGCCTCACAATGGCTGATTTTGAGTTACCGGTTTAAGAGCCAACCTCAAGGCTCTTGAATATTTAACAGTCAGCTTGTCTGTAGCCAGCTCCGGCATACTGCCAGTCTTCACGAACCTCTAAAACCCAAAAGACAGTTGCAGAAGTGTTGACTAGCTGAAAGGAGCCGTGAGTGCAGTGACCAGGAACACTCAGAGAGGGGTGAAGGGAGCTGTTCTCGTCAGAGATGTTGTATACATGAGTCAGGCCCTCAGCTGTGTCATCTACAGACAGGCACAGCTACAGACAGGTTCCAGATCAGTAAAGAAATTCCACAAGTGGAAGTGTAGAGAGAATAGAGTGGTATTGGCATTGCAGGGTAAGGAAGGTCCCTTCGATTTGGCCTTTCTGCATCCCTGCTTTATGTAGTGGCCAGCGTCTTGTGGATCAGCCTTGAACTGAAGGGTTTCCAGTTACTCTTGCTACTGAGTAAGTCTTTTATTTATTTATTTATTTTTATTTGAAAGGCTGAGAGACAAAGATCTGCTGGTTCACTTCCCAAATGCCCACAACAGCTGGGGCTAGGACAGGCCAAAGCCAGGGGTCAGGTACTCCATTCAGGTTTCCTACATGAGTGGCTGGCATCTGAGCATTTTGAGCCATCATCTTCTGCCTCTCAGGGTGCACAGTGGCAGGAAGCAGGATCCAAAACCAAGCCGGGACTCGAACCTAGGCTTCTGAGATGGTATACAGGTGTCCTGAGCAGCATCCCGATTGCTGTGCCAAGTGTCTGTTCCCTGACTTAGTTCTTAAATGTCAGGAAAACCTGCTTTATGAAGAGAAAAGGATCAAATAAACAGAAAAGTAGGCTTGAGGAAGTAGAGAAATTTGAGGGAGTAGGAGAGATTTTTGTTTTAAATCTATTTAAAACCCTCAAAAAAGATAGTACAACTGTAAAATAAGGACCAAATGCTATTTTAAGAATGAAAAGTTAGAGATCAAGAAACACTTAAGTAAGTTAAAAACAGAATTGTGAAAATAAAAAAGCAATAAAATGAAGTCAGAGAAGTCTCTCACAAATAGATAAAACTAAGAAATAAGATTGTTTGTCTAGAATTTACTTCCAAATACAGGGAGTGGAGGAAGTGGTTGTAGGTACACACAAGACATAATTGGTCATGCACTGATGTTCTTGAAAGCTGGAATATATGTGTATGTGTATACACACGCACACAGTTCAGTTTATGCTATGAGAAGCATTTTCCATGGAAAAGCAGAGAATTTGGTCATCACACAGGATGCATATGAAAGGAAGTGTCATCATAAAATGCTTCTTGGGTCATATAGGAAATAATATTTACATAGTCATAATGTAAGAGCTATGAATTACTTTTCAGATTTTAGAATTTATGTATACACAAATCCTAAGTTACAATAATACATTCATTATTTTTACAAGCAAGATATAAATACTATTTTTTAAAGATTCATTTACTTATTTATTTTTGAAAGTCAAACTTATAGAAAGGGAGAGACAAATCTTTTTTTCCCTCAAAGAAACCTTTTATTTAATGAGTACAAATTTCCTAAGTACAGCTTTAAGAATATAGTGATTCTTCCCACCATACCTGTCCTCCCACTCCACCTCCTCCTCCCTCTACCATTCTCAGTCCCATTCTCCATTAAGATTTATTTTCAGTTAACTTCATACACAGAAGACCAACTCTATGCTAAGTAAAGATTTCAACAATTTGCACACACACACACACACACACACAGAACTAGTTTTACAGTTAATTCTCATAATACAACTCATTGAGGACAGAGGTCTTGCATGGGGAGTAAGTGCACAGTGACTCCTGTTATTAATTTAACAATTAACACTCTTATGTACGATGTCAGTGGTCACCCGAGGCTCTTGAAATGAGCTGTGAAGGCTAGGGAAGCCTTTTAAATTCACAATCTCTGTCAGTATTTAGATAAGGCCATAAGCAAAGTGGAAGTTATCTCTTCCCTTCAGAGAAGTACATCCTTCTTTGATGGCCCCTTCTTTCCACTGGAGTCTCCTTCACAGAGATCCTTCACGTAGGACTTTTTTTTTTTTTTTGCCACAATGGATGGACAGATCTTTCATCTGCTGTTTGATTCACCAAATGGCCACAATAGCCAGTGGTAGGCCAAGCCAAAGCCAGGAGCCCAAAGCTGCTTCCAGGTCTCCACATGGGTGCAGGGGCCCAAGTACCTGTGCCATCCTCTGCTGCTGTTCCTGGGCCATCAGCAGGGAGCTGGATTGGAAGTGGAGCAGCTGGGACTTGAAGCATTATGGGATGCTGGAATGGCAGGCAGTGGCTTTACCCACTGTGCCACAACACTGTCCCCAATATTATCTTTGATAATAAAAAATTAAAGCACAGCACATGGTGGGGCCAGTGTTGGGGTGCAGCGGGTTAAGCTGCTGCCTGCAACGCTGGTATCCACATGAGCTCCAGCTGAAGTCCTGGCTGCACTACTTCTTTGCAACTCCCCGCTAACTATGTCTTTCAAATAAAATAAATAAATCTTAAAAATAAAATAAAGTTAAGCATATGGGGTTGGGAAATTACATTTCTGTTTTTGAAAAGTTTCATGAAGTACAGCTGCGCCCATCCCTTTGCTGTACATTATCTGGCTTCCATGCTAGTTACAGATTAGCGTACTTGCCACAGAGACCTCTCACAGTCTTAAAATATGTACTATGTGGTCTTTTATGCCAAAAAAGCTTGCTATCTGCCCAGTATACCATTGAAGTTAGAAATCGGTAATAGAAATGAGTCTTTAACATTTAAAACCTTTACAATTTATATTTAATTAGTTTGAGAAAGCTTCCATCTGCTGGTTCTCTCCAAATGCCCACAGTGGGTAGGGCTGGGCCAAGCCAAAGCTGGAAGCTAGGAACTCAAGCAAATTCTTCCATGTGGGTGGCAAGGGCCCAACTACTTGGGCCATTCCGGGGTCTGAATTGGCAAAAAGCTAGAATGGGGAGCTGGACTGAACCCAGCTACTCTGATGTGAGAATCAAGCACCTAGACTGACAGTTTAACTACTAGGCCAGACTCCACCCTCTCTCCCTTTAATATTTTTGACAGATGAAAAAAGCAGAAATGAATTAGACTAGAGGCATGGAATCAAAAACAAAACAAAACAAAACAAAACAAAACTCATGCAGTTTTGGAAATTGACAAATTATACAGCTGGCATTTCAGATTCATTAAGTTGTTTAGTAACATTTACTAAGCAGCCGCTAAGTACCATGTACTGTTCTAATTGCTGTAGGTACAATACAGATTAAGGGTAGGGCAAGAGTACAGACAGACAGAAACAGATAAAACATCCCTGTTTCCAAGGTATTTGCATTCTAGTAGTGAAGACAGGCAGTAAGGAAGATAAAAATATAGGTTTAAGGATTTATTTATTTATTTATTTATTTATTTGAAAGGCAGAGTTGCAGAGAGGTCTTCCATCCAGTGGTTCGCTCCCCAAATAGCTACAACAGCCAGAGCAGGGCTGATCTGAAGCCAGGAGCCAGGAGCCAGGAGCTTCTTCCGGGTCTCCCATCCAGGTGCAGGGGCCCAAGGACTTGGGCCATCTTCTGCTGCTTTCCTAGGCCATGACAGAGAGCACGATTGGAAGAGGAACAGCCAGAACTTGAACCAGCACCCATATGGAATGCCGGCACTGCAGGCGGCAGTTTTACCCGCTACCTCATGGCGTCGGCCCTGGAAGAATTAATTTTAAATTAAAATTTACATGAGGTGACATGTTAGTAATCCCAAGGAGATTAGCGGCATAAACCCCCCTGAATCCAGGGGAAGAGCAGTATAAGTTCCACTGCAGTTCCATTGCAGTGCCATGGTAAGTGCAAAGGCCCTGAGGTGGGAATATAACCTAGCATATTCAAGAGGCAGCTGGAGGAGGATGGCAGGAGAACTGAGTTGGGGGCAGACAGAGCCAAGGAAGAGGAACTCAGACGAGGCATTATCAGCCTGGTGAGAGCATCCTTGAGTGACATGGGATGCCATTGGAGGGGTTTGAGCAGGTTAGTCTGGTGGTCTTTTCTGAAAGGAGGCAAGGCCCAAATCAATTTAGAGGCCATGGCAGTAATCCAGACAAATCAAGTTGGCTTTGACCAGGATGTAGAGATGCTGAGAAGTGAAAATATGTTTGAAGGTCAAACCAGTGATGTTTTGTGACAGTCTGATCTGGGAGTGAGGGCAAGATGCTGGGGATGCCAGCTGAGCAGCTGGAAGGCTGGAGTTTCCAGTTCCTGAGATTGAAAGGGCCAAGGGGGTGCTGGTTAAGAGCTCTATCTGGGCAGAGATACTCTGGATAAGCCTCAGAGGCATAGCAGAATAGATAAAAGAGACTATCTGCACAGCAAAAGAAGAATGGACAGGGGCGTAGCAGGTAAAGCCACCTCCTGCAGTGCCGGCATCCCATATGGGTTCCGGTTCGAGACCTGGCTGCTCTACTTCCGATCCAGCTCTCTGCTATGGCCTGGAAAAACAGTAGAAGATGGCCCAAGTCCTTGGGCCCCTGCACCCATGTGGGAGACCCAGAAGTAGCTCCTGGCTCCTGGCTTCAGATCGGCACAGCTCCAACCCTTGCGGCCAACTGGGGAGTGAACCAGCAGATGGAAGACCTCTCTCTCTGTCTCTCTCTCTCCCTCTCCCTCTCCCTCTCCCTCTCCCGACTCTTCCTCTGTGTAACTCAGACTTTCAAATAAATAAATACATCTTAAAAAAAAAAAAAAAAAAGAACAATGGACAGAGATAACTACAAAATGGGAAAAATATTTGTAAACTACCATTCATGCAATAGGGAATTTTTTTTTTGACAGGCAGAGTGGACAGAGAGAGAGACAGAGAGAAAGGTCTTCCTTTGCCATTGGTTCACCCCGCAATGGCCACCACGGCCGGTGCGCTGCGGCTGGCGCACCGCACCGATCCGAAGCCAGGAGCTTCTCCTGGTCTCCCTTGCGGGTTCAGGGCATAAGGACTTGGACCATCCTCCACTGCACTCCCGGGCCACAGAGAGCTGGACTGTAAGAGGAGCAACTGGGGCAGAATCCGGCGCCCCGACCGGGACTAGAACCCGGTGTGCCGGGGCCGCAGGTGGAGGATTAGCCTAGTGAGCCACGGCACTGGCCGCAATAGGGAATTAATATCCAGAACAGTCAAGGATCTCAGCAGCAAAATAATAATATAGGCAGTCTGATTTTAAAATGCTAATTAGAGTAGACATTTCTCAAAAGAAAGCATATAAATAGCCAGTAGGTATATTAAAAAGTGTTTATCACTGATCTTCAAAGAAATGCAAATGAAAACTGTAGTTAAAAAGGCTTTGTCAAACAGAAAGAAAATATCCAGTGCAGGCAATGTGGAGAGAAGGGAGCAAACTCTCCTCGTGTGTTGGTGGGAATGTAAATTAGCTCAGGCATTATGGAGAATGGAGGGAGGTTCATCAGAAAGCTACAAATGGAATTGCCATATGATGTAGCAGTCTCAATGCTGGGCTTACATCTGCAGGAACTGCAATCAATGTGTTCAGGAGGTGTTTGCACTCATGTGTTCATTGCAGCACTTTTCACAATAGCCAAAACATGGAATCAGCCTCTGTGTCTATCAGCTGATGAGTACATAAAGAAAATATGGTACTTAGGCACACTGAAGTGTAAAACTCTGTCATGTACAGCATCATGGATGGAATTGGAGGACGTGAAATAAGTCAGGCATAGAAAGGCAAGTACCATGTGTTCTCACTCAGATGTGGAAGCGATGATTGACCTCACTGAAGCAGAGGATGGGACAGCGCTTACCAGAGCTGGGAAAGGACGGGTGTTTATTAACAGGTACAAAAGTACAGTTAGGTAGGAGGACTAATTTATAGTGTTTTGTAGCACAGTAGGGTGGATATAGTTAACAGTAATTTATTGTATATTTTGAAATAACTAGAAAAGAGAAATTTGAATGTTCTCAACACAGATGACAAATGTTTAAAGTGATGAATATGCTAATTGCCTTGATTTGCTCATTATTCATCGAGTTCATGAATCAAAATATCATACTGTACTCCATCAATACATACACTTATTATGTATCAATTTTAAATATGAGATACCTATTGGACATGCATGTGGAAGTGATACTAGTTCAGGATTCTAGGCTAGAAGTGGGAATGCATGCGTTTTCAGTAAACAGAGGATATTTACAGCTGTAAACTGGAAGCCATTGCTGCACGTAGAAGAGTGTGACACTCTAGGGGGAGGGGGTAAAGAGGGGCTAGAAGAAGGTACATAGTTCTTGAGAGCGAGGTGTCCAAGGAGGAGGATTGTATCAAGTGGTCCCGATGAGCAGCTCGGTGGACTCGGTAGACCCAACTAGAGCAAGTTCAAGAGAAAACAGGGATGAGGAGAGACTGCTGTATTTAAAAGGAATTGTACAGCATATACTCTTTTTAGCAGGTGCAGGGTCTGGCTTCCTTTAGTATTTTGAGATTCATCATGAATTGGTAATAATAGTTCTTTTTTTATTGCCAAGTAGTATTCCGTTGTAGGAATGTACAGCAATTTATTTATCCGTTCACTTGCTGATAAGCACTTGAGTTGTTTCCAGGTTTTCTCTGTTATAAAGCTACTGAAAACCTTCCTGTCTCTGTCTCTGTCGGCATAGGCTTTTTTTTCTCTTGAGTAAGTACCTAGGAATGGAATGGCTGAATCAATCATATGGTATTTGCACTTGATTGATTTGAAGTTTTTTAAGACACTGCTAAACTGTTTTTCAAAGTATTTGAAATATTTTACATTCTATTGCAAGTATATGAGATTTCCTTTTGTTCTCATCTATGCCAATACTTGCTACCCCAGGTTTGTTTTTATTTTAACTTTATCAATTGTAGTGGGAGTTCAGTGATATAACGTGGTTTTAATTTGCATTTGTTGGTGAATAATGACATTTATCTTTTTGTGTGGTTGTTTGCCATCTGTGTATCTTTTCTGGGAAGTGTCCAAATATGAAATAAAGAATGAATTCTTACATATTGTTCTGCATGTGCAGTATTCCAAAATAATATTTTAGGTGGAGATTGATTACACTTCTTTAACAGTAGGCTTTCCTTTGTGATGGTAATACACAAGTGACTAAGCAGCAGCAGAAGCTATTGTAACTGGAGGAAATGACCACTGTCTCCCCATATGCAACAGGTTGCAGCTCTGCAAGAGGAGAAGAGTAGTTTGTTGGCAGAAAATCAGATACTAATGGAAAGACTCAATCAATCTGATTCTATAGAAGACCCTAATAGTCCAGCAGGAAGAAGGCATTTGCAGCTCCAGACACAATTAGAACAGCTACAGGAAGAAACATTCAGGTAAAAGACCACTCATTAAAATATTACTTGTAAAAATTTGATGACTGTCATTTAAAGTTAAGAGAATGGTATTAGTGCTTCTGGACCTCTGCAGACCCACATGGCTGTGTAATAAGCAGCTTCCCCAAATCTTCCCAAACACCAGTGCTGTGTTCCACATACCTGCCCCTACCCCAGCCACCATGGAGCTTATAGCAAGCCAAAGCAGACTGACTACAAGAGGAAGAGCAGTAGCAAAGGGGCTTACCGGTGAGTTGGAGGGGTTACCAGAAGGCTAAAATTCACCGGATGTCTCAAGTTATTTATTAAAATGATCCAAGTACTTGGCCAGAGTAGACCAGAAGCTGCAGGACAGGGATCTCAGAGCCAGTGCATCTTCTTCAAGGGCCAGACGCCACAGAAAGATCAGGCAGGACGTTTAGTGAAGTTGTTGCCCATTCAGGCACACAGTTTAAAGAGACATAATACAAAGAACAGGTATAGGGTTTATAGAAATAGTCCCAGATGGAATTAAAGGGACAAGCTGATTTAAAAGGACAGGCAGGATTTAAAGGAGCAGTCTTCTACGTGTAACTTCTGGAGGAATAAGAGACCTAAAAGAAAGAAGTATCCTTTGGCACTTGGGTGGTGGAAGAGAAAATAAAAGAGGGGGAAATTTGATGTCTGTCTGCAGAACAAAACAGAGCTAGGACGCTGAAGGACTTCACAGTGTCGGGAACATATTTTGTTATAACTTGATAAAAAGTGCAGTATGACCTTTTTATTACCTAGCCATAGATTCCCAGTGTCAAAACAGAAAAACTAAACATCAATTAGGTGTTTACTGAGTAACCTAGTTTGGTACCCTGTCTCCTACCCTTCATTATTTTTCAGTGGAATGTGTCCAGGTTTTTTTCCTGTTCGCCTTTCTGATTCTTTTTAAAGTTTTGTTGGAACACAGCTACCTTTTTTTTTTTTTTTTAAATTTATGTATTTGAAAGGCACAGAGACTGAGGGGTCTTCTATCTACTGGTTCGCTCTCTCCAAATGCCTGCAGCAGCCAGGGCTGGGGCAAGCCAAAGCCAGGAATCCAGAACTCCATCTGGGTCCCTGCCGTGCATGGCAGGGCTACCTGTTGCTTCCCAGAGACTCTGGTCTGGGCTGTGGGCATCCCAAGCAACATCTTAACCTCTGTGCCAAATGCCCACCCACCCCAATAAAAAGCTTTTCTTAGTCTTGTCACAAACCTTAGCAATAGTCCATCCCTATGGTCTGCATCAGTGTTTTGATCTGAAAACCCCTGAAGGTCATCAGAGGCTGTCTCTCCTACCTACACAGCTGTGCAAGGCAAGGCTTTGTTTATAAGCTGTATGCAGACTTCAGTCAAAACATGTCACAGCAGGTGAATGCAGAAACAGGTCTAAGAAGCCAGCTATCTTCTGTTAAAGCAATTACTAGAATCACAAAATGTAAAACAGTACTACTCTTCTCTGTCCGAAAACAAGCTGTTTTTCACAAACAGTATGGTTTTTCTTGTTTTGTTTGTTTTCATTTGAGAGGCCAAGAAATAAATGAGGCCAGGAGGCAGAAAGCTCCTATCTGCTGGTTCATTCCCCCAAATGCCGGCAGTGGCTGGGCTAAGCTGGAGCAGGGTATGGAATCCAGGTACTCCAGTGCGGGATGCAGGAGCTCCCACAAGGTTCCTTAACGAGTGGGCTACATGCCTGCCCCAGCCAAATGTTTTCATCTTAATATATGGGTTTATTACTGTTATTTTCAACTAAGGAGATAAATTTGAAATTTATCATTTTAATTTCTAACATGATAAATACTGATAGATAGTATTTAAATTAGGGTTTTGGGAAATTGGTATTTAGAATTGTCTTATGTTTTTATTATGAAGGAGGTAGTGTTTAATGGTTCTATTGTTCAAGAATTCATATTTGTAATACTTTATCTTGAAATATTTTAACTCAGAGATTTTATTCATTCTCCATATTTATATATCATATTTTTGATTCTTTAAATCCCATCTAATGCTTCTGGCTTATTTTTATCATGATAGGGTGCTTTTGATTTTATTATTTTTTTTAGGACTGGTGGCTTTTGAGATTTAAATCCCATAGATTATCTGTGTTACAAAGAGAAAATATACCCCTTTAGAAAGTGGAGCTGTGTGGCAGTAACCATCTTAAGCAGTCATCAGGTTTAGCAGTACTACTATGGGACACCCTGACAATTATATACACATGACACATTACTGGAAGTCTTAGCATCACCCATGTAGTGTTTGTGCCAAATATGTAACCTCAGTTCAATCATGAAGAAACAATAAGAAACAAATCAATGTCATAAAAAAAAAAAAAAAAAACAACAACAACAACAGAAGACAAAAAGATACTACAACTAAAGGAATGGTGAACTTTCTTTGGATCCTAGGTCAGGGTGGACAGAGAAAGGTTTATTTTAAAAGACATTCTTGCTACAATTGGGGAAGTGTAAATATGAACTCCACATTCTTGCTACAATTGGGGAAGTGTAAATATGAACTCCACATTAAATAGTATTGATATTAATTGTCTTAGATGTGATAATGTACTGAGACATGTAAAAGAATGTCCTTTTTACAGAGGTATTTGGGGGTGAAAGGTAATTTTTGCAGCTTACTTTCAAGTGATTCCCTAAAAGTACGTGTATGAATTTTATTGGTGTGCATTTGTTGAGAAAGTGAGATAAGCCAAATGGAGCAAAATACTAACAATGAGTGAATCTAGCAAGGGGTATACAAGTATTCACTTAATTCAAATTGTGGATATTTGAAGTATTTAAAATTCGACATTCAAGAAAGCAGTGACACTTTGAACTTATGTTTGTCTCCACTTGTCCTATTCTTACAACAATGGCTACAAAAATTATTAAAAAGAAAGAAAAGTGCTGATATCCCATTTAACAGTCCTAAATAAAACACTGGCAAATTCAACCCAATACTGTATTAAGATAAGCTTTATCCCAGGACCATTTACTTGTCGAACATTATCCAATCTATTGTAACTGCTTTGATTTATTGATTAAAGGAGAAGGAAAATAAAAATTTATCTTGAAATGTGAAATTCACATTTAAGTTAAAAAAATAAGGTGAAGATGAGTACTCATCTATTATTTAACTTTTTTCTAGACATTCTAAAAATCTTGGCTTTGCCACTTGTTAGCCATATAACCTTGAGCATGTTGCCCATTTCCTGAACTCTGAGAAGGTCCAATAGTGTTAATCTGCCTCCTAAAATTTTTGTCAGAATTGAGTTAATATTTGTGCATTGAAAGCACTGAAACTGTTGCCTGACTGGTGCTATTTAAGTTTTGGCTGCCATTATTGCTTTTCTAGAAAATGAAATAAAAAGAAATGAGACAAAAAATGTTGGAAAGATAAAAACTAAAAGGTTATTATTTGCAGGTAATATTTTCATCTGTCTAGAAAATATAAGGGAATTAAGTGAAAAGTTCTTAGACACAGTAAACATTTACATGTTATTTGCTGCAATTGCTAGTATCATTGGCATACACTTGCATTGTTAAATATGTGAAATACTGAAAAAATTTTAAAGTAATGTGACTTATATGAAGAAAATTTTGAAGTTATACATCAAAAATATTGTATGGAGAAAATAATTGTAGTTTTGCATGTTTTTAAAGGAGCATTTCAATTATATTGTTTTCCCTTAACCAGTTCAAAGTCTGTTTATCTAGTAGTATTAATGAGCAAGACTTCCCGAGACATTTTGAGAATAATGAAGGAGCTCTTGCCATGTCAAGTGTGCAAATATATTTTAAGCCTATCTTAATTTGAATAGCTTAGAACTGATACAGTGAAATACAGACAAACAGTAATACAAATGCATCTCAATGTATTTGAATGTGTGATATGATGAAGGAAGTATTTTCTAATCAACAGGGAAAGAATAGAAAATTTGTTAGATGGGTTCTGGTAGGTATTTCAGCAAGGGAAATCCTTGCATTTCCTCATACATGAAAATTAATATGCGGAAATTAGAATTTTTTTTGACAAGCAGAGTTGAGAGAGACAGAGAGAAAGGTTTTCCTTCTGTTGGTTCATCACCCAAATGGCCACTACGCCAGCAGCCAGTGTTGTGCCGATCCGAAGCCAGGAGCCAGGTGCTTCCTCCTGGTCTTCCATGCGGGTGCAGGGCCCAAGCACTTGGGCCATCCTCCACTGCCTCCCCAGGCCACAGCAGAGAGCTGGGGGAAGAGGAGCAACTGGGACAGAATCCGGCGCCCCAACTGGGACTAGAACCCGGGGTGCCAGTGCTGCAGGCGGAAGATTAGCCAAGTGAGCCGTGGTACTGGCCGAAATTAGAATTTTTAATGTTAAAATGAAACCATTAGTAGTACTAACAGAAAATGTACAATTAAAAGAAAAAAATCATTAAGTATAACATTAAAACAGAATTAAATACAAAAAATTAAGAATTAGACATTATATAAAGAAAAGTAACTAATTGGGCAAAATATTTGTGACATGAGAGAAAAAGACTTTGTAAAATAAAGGAGGGGTCTCTGTTAAATAGATCTGGTTAATAAATAGAAATTAGTACTGTCTGTGTTGTTGGTGAAAAATATGAGCAGAAATGAGACTGGAGGATAAACTCCAAAAATGTGAACAGTAGTTATCTATCTGAATTAATGTGATTCTTATTTTCTTTCCTTTTCTGTATTTTGGCAAATTTTCAACAGTAAGTGCATTAGTTTCATAATAAATCCTTAAATTATATTGAGGAATATTTTGGAAAAACATTACTTGATGTCTAGCTGTCTAGGTGTCTGGTGGCACAGTGGGAGTTTGTTGTCACCTTTCCCACACCTGGCAACAGTGCATACCCTTGGGAAGACAGCCTGTGGCCACCCAACAGAATACATTTTTAAGAAGAGTTTATTCTCATGTTTCCTGTTGTCATTACTTTCTTTTACTGTCCCAAGCAGAATGATGAGACTGTAAATAGTTCTGTCTTGACCTGTGCTGTTTCGGTTACAGACTAGAAGCTGCTAAAGATGATTATCGGATACGCTGTGAAGAATTAGAGAAGGAAATCTCCGAACTGCGGCAGCAGAACGATGAGCTCACCACGTTGGCAGACGAAGCCCAGTCTCTGAAGGATGAGATTGATGTTCTTAGGTGAGCCTCCCTTGCTGTGGAGTCTCAGACCTACCTCTCCGGGGCCCACCCTCAGCCCTCTGACACGCCTGTGTGCAGGCCCAGGGCTTCCGTGTGACCTCTGTGTGGCCTTGTTCTCGTCTTGGGTCTCTGTGAGGAATTGAGCGGCACCTGCAATAAACAGAAATTAATCCCTGAGCATACTCATCCTCACCCAGCTCTCCAGCTCCTCTTCTAACACCGTTGAATCCTGCAGCCACCTGGTCCACCTTTTTTTTTTCCAGGTCTGCACTTGTTTTCCAGTTACTCTCTCACTAGGCACCTTACTCCCTGCCACCTCATTTTCCCACTGTTCTGCTTCTTATGTAGTCCGTGATCTTCTGTTGAGTGGTTCCAACCACCTGCATTTTCTACTTTGCCTCTTTCAATACTAAGAACAAATTACATAGTAATACAGTTTTGTCCTACTACATATTAAAGACCTTAACACTGGGTTCTTACCACTGGCTCCCCATTCTGCTTCCCCTGTAAGTGGGTAAGTCCATCTCCCATTTTCTCATAGCTGCTCCATGTTTTCACAGCTCTCTCACCTGACGGACCACCACACCACACATCCCTCGTGCCTTAGTCTCAGGAGATGACCTTGTCTCCTGCTGCACAGAAGAAAGACGCCGTGAACTGTTGGCTCTCAGGACCTTTGTTTCCTGCACTCCCAGACAGCCCCACATAGCCACCTGTCTTTTTTCATCTTTGCTCTTCATCCTGTCCAGGGCTAATTCCTTCTTCAGTGCTCTGAGGCTCACCCCTTCTTATCTGCCTATGGACTGTGCTACACCAATTAGCATTTCTCTTTACATCTTGACTCTCCTTTACAAAAATGCTTTTAGATCTGTTTAACCTTGGAAGGGAAGGGGGAACTGTTTGTTCTCTTCTCAACCCACTAAAGTTTGCCATTGCCTGCTCCCACTATTCCACTGAAACTGCTGTTCCTGTGGTCACCAATAATATCTCACTTGCCAAATCATTTGAACACCACACAACTTACTTTACTTTTGTGCTGAATGGGACTCGGCTGGCTAGCCCCTCCTATTTGCTTTCCTTAAACATTCTCCATTACACATTGTGCTATAATTTTGGCTGTATTTCTTAAAACCTGAGCAAGCCGCGGCTCAATAGGTTAATCCTCCGCCTGTGGCACCGGCACCCCAGGTTCTAGTCCCGGTAGGGGGCCGGGTTCAGTTCCGGTTGCTCCTCTTCCAGTTCAGCTCTCTGCTGTAGCCCAAGTCCTTGGGCTCTGCACCTGCATGAGAGACCAGGAGGAAGCACCTGGCTCCTGGCTTTGGATCAGCGCGGTGTGCCGGCCGCAGCGGCCACTGGAGGGTAAACCAACGGAAAAGGAAGACCTTTCTCTCTGTCTCTCTCACTGTCCATTCTGCCTGTCCAAAAAAAAAAAAAAAAAAAAAAAAAACCACCTGAGCAAAAAACTGAACTGTAATGTAATCACTTATGGTCTTTAAAAAAAAAAGATTTATTTATTTGAAATTCAGAATTATGGCTGGCGCTGTGGCTCAATAGGCTAATCCTCCGCCTTGCGGCGCCGGCACACCGGGTTCCAGTCCCGGTCGGGACGCCGGATTCTGTCCTGGTTGCCCCTCTTCCAGGCCAGCTCTCTGCTATGGCCTGGGAGTGCAGTGGAGGATGGCGCAAGTGCTTGGGCCCTGCACCCCATGGGAGACCAGGAAAAGCACCTGGCTCCTGGCTTTGGATCAGTGCGATGTGCCGGCCGCAGTGCGGCAGCCATTGGAGGGTGAACCAACGGCAAAGGAAGACCTTTCTCTCTGTTTCTCTCTCACTGTCCACTCTGCCTGTCAAAAAAAAAAAAAAAAAGGAAAGAAAGAAAGAAATTCAGAATTACATAGAGAGAAGGAAAGGCCAAGAGAGAGACAGAGAGAGGTCTTCCATCTGCTAGTTCAATCCCTAATTGGCCCCAATGGCTGGGGCTGGAGCTGCACCGATCTGAAGCCAGGAGTCAGGAGCTTCTTCCAGGTCTCCCACATGGGTGCAGGGACCCAGGGACTTGCGCCCTCTTCTACTGCTTTCCCAGGCCATAGAAGAGAGCTGGATTAGAAGTAGAACAGCTGGGACTTGAACTGGTGCCCATATGGGATGCCAGCACTGCGGGCACTGGCTTTACTCGCTATGCCATAGCGCCAGCCCCCACTTACAGTCTTATAATTTCATTAGGTCGTATTGTTTTCTAGCAGTATCTCTTGTTTTAGCACTTGATGTCTAAAGCAGTTTTGTGACTATTGATGGTTTTCTGACTTTTAATTTCCCATCTCATTCTAGGCATTCTTCTGATAAAGTTTCTAAACTAGAAGGTCAAGTGGAATCTTACAAAAAGAAGCTAGAGGACCTTGGTGATTTGAGGCGGCAGGTTAAGCTCTTAGAAGAGAAGAATACCATGTATATGCAGAACACTGTCAGTCTAGAGGAAGAGTTGAGGAAGGCCAATGCAGCACGGAGTCAGCTGGAGACGTATAAGAGACAGGTAAAAGAACAGAAACAATTTCTTGGTGAGAGTTTAAAGCAAGCGTGCCACTATAACAGGTAGCCTGTCAGAACTGTATTAGCTTGTTTTCACTGTTCTTTACTTTTTCTTTAATGTATAAAGAATCTTCAAAAAGGTTGTGGGAAAAATATATTGTAAAAGAACTATGCAAGGATTTCAAAAGTGTTTGAAACAAAATAAACCTAATTCCATTTCCATAAACTTTTTGAAATACCTTCGTGTTTATTCATTTTTATTTTACATTTAAAGAACTTAAATGTAGTTCTTTTCTATAGGTTATTGATTGGTCTCTCTAGCAGATTCATTTATTGTGTTTTCTTTTATTATATAATATTTGGGAAGTATACATTAGTAAAAAATAATACAATAAATATTCATGCCTAAAAAGTAAAACATACGTTTCCCCTTCTCCATTACAGATTACCTCTGTGTTGTTTTATGGTTTTCATTCTCATGCATCTCTTATGTTCTTTCTATCACCAAAATTGTAGAGTATTTTGGCCAGGGCTGTGGCACAGTGAGTTAAAGCCCCAGCTTGTTCACCGGCATCCCATATGGGCGCCAGTTCAGGTGCTAGCTGCTCCACTTCCAATCCAGCTCTCTTATAATGGACCTGGGAAAGCAGTAGAGGATGTCCTAAGTCCTTGGGCCCCTGCACCTACGTGGGAAACCTGGAGGAAACTCCTGGTTCCTGGCTTTGGCCTGGCCCAGCCCTGGTCATCCAGCCATTTGGGGAGTGAACCAGCATATGGAAAACTCAATCTCTCTCTCTTGCTGTATCTCCAACTTTCAAATAAATAAATGAATCTTCAAAAAAAGTTGTATAACATTTTGACATGTTCTAATGCTTCATATTCATTCTTCGTATTCATTTCAGAAAGTATTCTTTCGTTTCCTTTTTTCTTTTTAATATTTATTTATTTAGTTAGTTAGTTGAAAGAGCTCCAGAGAGGGCGAGGCAGAAAGAGAGAGAAAGAGAGAGAAAGAGAGAGAGAGAGAGATATCTTCCATCCACTGATTCACTCTTCTAATGACCACAGTCTCCAGGGCTGGGCCAGGCTGAAGCCAGGAGCCAGGAGCTGCATCCAGGTCTCCCACGTGAGTGCAAGGGCCCAAGCACTTGGGCCATCTGCTGCTGCTTTTCCAGGCACATTAGCAGGGAGCTGGATCTGAGGTGCAACAGCTGTGACTGGAACTGGTGCCTATATGGGATGCCAGCATTACAGGCAGTGCCTTTACCCACTACAGCACAGCGCCAGCCCCTGTCATTTCGTATTTTTCCCCCCTTAGTATATTTGTGAGATTCAGTGCTGAAAGGTATAACTTTACACCTTTTATTTTTACTGCTGTATAGTACCCCATTGATTATATCAAAGCTTTGTCCATTTTCCTATTGGAGATGTTACAACTTTGGTTTAATATTAAAAGAAATACCACTATGAATAGTAGTGAACTTGTGTTCTCTTCTATATATTTGTGAAGATTTTACAGCTTTGTGGGATTTCTCTCTTTAGAGTATCTTCAGTGTAGTTAGATGTTACACATTGTACCCCAAGTGAATCAGTTCCTCCACATCATCACCAACACTTATTATTGCCAACTTCAATAAAGTTTTTCAGTTGGATGGAAATAAGCTGGTTTTTCCTTATAATTATACTTTGCATTGTCTTGATTACAAATTGTCTATTTTTATCCTTTATACATTTTAAAAATTATTTCTTACTGATTTCTAGAATTAATTTGCTCTAGATAATTAAATTTTCATCACTTGCACATGTTTTTATCTCCTACAGATCTGTGACCTTACCCTTTACTTCTTTTAAAGTTGACAATTTGTGCTTTTTCATGTCTTATTTAAGAAATTATTTCCAGGGTGGGTATTTGGTTTAATGATTAAGACACTGATTGGGACACCCACATCCCATATCTGCATGCCTGTGTTAAGTGTCCCAGCTCTGCTTCCTATTCCAGCTTCTGCTAATGTGTACCCAGAGAAGCAGCAGGTAGTGGCTGAAGTAATTGGATCTCTGCTACTCATGTGTATGTCCTGGATTGGGTTCCTGGCCCCTAGCTTTGGCCTAGTCCAGTCCCGGCTCTTGCAGGCATTTGGAAGAATTAACCAGCAGATGGGAGCTTGCTTGTGTGAGCACACAAGCTCTTGCTGTCTCCTTCTCTCTAATTAATTAATTAATTAGTTAATCATTTTAAAAAGAAATGTTACCCCATAAGGCTATAAAGTTTCATCTCTCTCTCTCTTTTTTTTTTTTTTTTTTTGACAGGCAGAGTGGACAGTGAGAGAGAGAGACAGAGAGAAAGGTCTTCCTTTTTGCCATTGGTTCACCCTCCAATGGCCGCCACGGCTGGCGCGCTGCGGCCGGTGCACCATACTGATCCGAAGGCAGGAGCCAGGTGCTTCTCCTGGTCTCCCATGGGGTGCAGGGCCCAAGCACCTGGGCCATCCTCCACTGCCTTCCTGGGCCACAGCAGAGAGCTGGCCTGGAAGAGGGGCAACTGAGACAGAATCCAGTGCCCCGACCGGGACTAGAACCTGGTGTGCCGGCGCCACTAGGTGGAGGATTAGCCTATTGAGCCGCGGCACCGGCCTCACTCATTTTCATTATAAAATTTTAATTTTGTTTTGAACATTTAGGTTTCTAATCCACCTAGGATTGATTTTTGTATGGAGTGTTAGGAAGGGGTCCATTGGATTCTGTTTTTGTGTAGATAACTAGTTTACCTACTGCCATTTTGTAATAGTCCATTATTCCACAATGACCTACAATTCTGCCTTCTACAAAGGTCTTCAGAAAGTCCATAGAAATTACATGTAATGAAAAAACTGCATGGGTTTCAAATTTTTCTGCCTTCAAATCAATTTATCTTTTAATTCAATGTTCCCATAAACTTACAAAAAAGTTTATATATGTGTGTGTGTGTGTGTGTGTGTGTGTATCTGAGAAACAAAGACAGAGAAGGACAAAGAGAGCTCCTACTGCTTCATTCCCCAAGTGCTTTGAATGACCCCATGTTGGGAGCCAAAACCAAGAACCAGGAACTTAATCCAAGTCTCCCACATGGATGACAGGAACCCATTCACTTGAACCATCACCACTGCCTCCACAGGTCTGCTTTAGCAGGAAGCTGGAGTCAGGAGCAGACCCAGATATCGAATTCAGGCACCAGTACTGGACGTGGGCACTTTCACTGGTGTCTCAACTGCTAAGCCAGTCACCTGCCCCTCCATGAGCTATTTGAACTACTCTAGAACATCTAAACTTCTCATATTATATGATGGCTTGTTTCTGGACTCTGTTCTGTTGTCTTAGTCTACTTGCTTATTCTTAACCAATACCACATTATGTTATTTTCTGTAGATTTTTAGTAATTTTGATGTTTGGCAGTACAGGCCCTCATACCTTTTTCTTTTTCAGAACTGTATTCTTGGTCATTTGCTTTTTCTTTAAACCCAGAACCTTTGGGGATTGAACTTATGTTGAATCTATTACCAGTTTGAGGATAACTGACATCTTTGTGACAATGAGTGATGCTGTTTATGAACATGTCTTCCCATTTATTAGGTCTTCAATGCTTCTGATTAACTTTTATCATATTCTTCTAAGCATAAAACTATTTGTTTGTTACTCTTAGGGACTTTAGGTTTTTTTGAATGTCTCATAAATACAAGTAAAGATAGGATTTTGAGTTTCTTGGTCATACATATGAATGAAAGTGATTTTTATATGTTGATTCTACTGTCTAATGAAATTCTTATATTCTGATAATATCTGTAGATTCTCTCTTAAGAATGAGATAGAAAACAAATAAAAGCAATTTTGTTTCGTTTTATTCAACACCTTCTTTTTCTTCTTAATCAGCATACCTGGTCTTTAAATAAAACTTTAATGGGAAAAAATTTCATGTTGTTGATGATGTAGAGAATGCTTTTGGTATTTTACCAATATATTTTAAGGATTGTTGCAGGTTTTTATACCCACCTTTTGTCCAGTTTCTATGTTAAACAAATGTTGGATTTAATCAGCTAGTTTTTCTACCTCCTTTCTATTAATGTGGTAAATTATATTAATGGATTTTTTAAGTTTAGACTTGCATTCTTGGGATAAACTTAACTTGTCACAATGGACTTATTTGTTGTTTTCACATTGTTAGGTTTGCTTTGTTTACTCAAAATATTTTACTTGTGTAATTCAATGGAGATTTTTTTATTTCATACTTTCCTTATCTGATTTTGGAATCAAAATTATACTCTCAATAAAATGAATTGGAGAATAGTGTCTTACCATTCTCAGAAAAAAATTGTGTAAAACTTGCATTTTCTAGTTTTGAAGTTTTAGAGCAGCCCTGTCCATCATGAATTGGCAGGCAGTGTTTTTTCTGAATGATTTATTATTTCAAACATACAACCCTTTAATATAAACTGATGAAGTAACCCAAAATAGATATAGCTCAAACAGAAACTATAAATGATAGTAAAAGATATGAAATATGAAATGAGGAATGATGTAGTTAGAGTTCCAGGGAAGAGAACAGAAAGAACTGGAGAAAGACATTTGATGGAAAAGCTGGCTGAACTTTTTTCAAAAGTTATGAAGGACATCAGATTTAAAATTAAAAAGAAATCCATCCCCAAAGTATTGTAGTGAAACATGCATATTTCACGAATTCTCTGTGCTTGTGTCTGGTGTGTATAGACTTATCTTTTAGTAATAGTAGCTTCTTTCCACTATTTCTCTTACATACTCTTTCAAACCTCCTGATCATTTCTGATGGTCTTATTCCTTTTCATAATTTCACTTTTTAAAAGATTTATTTATTTATTTGAAAGAGTTACAGAGAGGGAGAGGCAGAGATCTTCCAACCCCCCAGTTCACTCTCCAGATGGCTGCAATGACCAGCACTGGGTTGGGCCAAAGCTTCTTTTGGGTCTCCGAGGTCATTGGCAGGGGCCCAAGCACTTGGTCATTCTTTACTGCTTTTTCCAGGCCACTAGCAAGGAGCTGGATTGGAAGTGGAGTGTCCACAGGGGATGCCGGCATCACAGGCGGTGGCTTTACCTGTAACCCACAGCATTGGCCCCTCCTCTTTAGCTTTTTAAGTTTTCAATCTAGTATATATATATACTATACACACACAAACACACACACACACACACTTTTAATCTGGTAATTCCAATCTGAAATACTTGGATATCTTACTCTGCTCTCTTGTTGTTGCTGTCACTTCTACTGACTGGTGCAACATCAGTTATTTCCCTGTCAATCTCTGTAATGCTGACTTTTGCTTTCATCTGCTCATCTTTGTTTTTAGGTGTCCTGAGTTGAGGTTGTGCTTCTTTAAACTATATATGAGTTTGCTTATGCCAGATTTTCCTTAGCATTGCTTTAATTGTTTAAGTTTTCTTAGACAAACAAAGTTGTAAAAGCTCAACACAAAATCTGTGTACTAAAAGACTGTGGTTGTCGTGGTGGATTTGTTCTGAGAGGAGGAGCATGGTGGGGGCAAGAGGCGCGGAGTCACCACACAGACCCCAGGAGGCAGTATCTGAAGCCATCCAATCACAGCCTGTTGCCAGTCAGGCTCCGTTGCCAGGCGGGTTTCGAAGCCATTCCTGAGTAACTGACGTTTGCTTGCCAGTGGCCATCTTGGCATGGCCTTCTCATTCCACCACATTGTCAGCAATGGTATGGCCAAGAATCATGCCTCCCATTGCTCAAAAATAAACAAAAAGGGGGGAAATGTGGTGGAATGAGAAGGCCATGCCAAGGTGGCTGCTGGCAAGCGAGCATCAGTTACTCAGGAATGGCTTTGAATCCCACCTGGCAACGGAGCCTGCCTGGCAACAGGCTGTGATTGGATGGTTTTGGAAACTACATGGCAAACGAAGCCTGCCTGGCAACAGGCTGTGACTGGTTAGGGCATAAACTGCCCCTTGACCGGGTTGGCTGCCTTCGCTATTTAAGCTGCTGTACCAAATGAAATAAACCAGTCTGCTGGCTGCTTGCCTCTAGCCCGCTTTCATCCGACTCCCTCCTGGGGTCTGTGTGGTGACTCCGCGCCTCTTGCCCCCACCACGCTCCTCCTCTCAGAATGAATCAACCTCAACACATGATGACAGATGTCTAGGCTGTACTTTCTTGTTTTATTATTTTATTTAAAAATTTCTATTTTTTTATTTAAGAGGTAGAGTTACAGATGGTGAGAGGGAGAGACATACAGGTCTTCCATCTGCTGGTTCACTCCCCAGATGGCCACAGTGGCCAGAGCTGAGCTGATCTGAAGCCAGGAGCCCAGAGCTTCTTCCAGGTCTCCCATGCAGGTGCAGGGGCCTAACGACTTGGGCCATCTTCCGCTGTTTTCCCAAACCATAACAGAGAGCTGGGTTGGAAGAGGAGCAGCTGAGACTTTAACTGGGGCCCATATGGGATGCCAGCACTGCAGGGGGAGGATTAACCTGTGCACAGCGCTGGTCCCCAGATTGTGCTTTTTTAAATCCAAAGCACTCAGTTTACTTTGTTAGCAGATGTACTTCTTTTCTTAGCCCAACCTTTTTCTGATTCACCACCTTTCAAAGTTCATGGTGGTTTAACAACTATTTGTCTCCTGATAAATGCCAGGCAGGGCTTTGAATCTGGCACCTCTTGGTACCCATAACTTCTGCATGAACTTCCCACTCTGGTGGATTTCTCTTTCATGTAAGCTTAGCTGTACAATTAGATTCCTTCTCCTCCCCTTAGGATTTCTTTTATTTTATATTAAAAATTTTCAAAATACCCAGTTATCTATATTGCTAGGAATAGAAATCTTATAGATTTTTTTAAAATTTTAAAAAGATTTATTTACTTATTTGAAAGAATTATAGAGAGACATAGAGAGAAAGAGACCTTCCATCTGTTGACTCATTTCCCATATGGCCACAATGGTCAGGGCTGGGCTAGGCCGAAGCCAGGAGCTTCATCCAGGTCACCTATGAGGGTGGAAGGGGACCAAATGCCTGGATCATCTTCCATTACTTTTCCTAGGCCATTAGTGGGGAGATGCATTGGAAGTGGAGCAGCCGGCACACAAATCAGCATCCATATGGGATGCCAGTGTCATGAGCAGCAGCTTTACTTGCTGTGCCACAATGCTGGCCCCTCTACAATTTTGAACATTATTATTTTGGATGATTCTGGCTTGGGAACTCACAGTATCTGGGTAGATGCTTATTTCTCCATGTCTCCGTTACATTAAACTTCTGTGCATTTATTTGAGTATTGGTGGAGAAGGGGTCATTATAGACCTACAGAAGAAAATAATGAAAATTTCTAACATTCCAAATTATAAAAATTAATGGTATCTTTCTGTATCAGGTAGTAGAACTGCAAAATAGATTATCTGAAGAATCAAAGAAAGCAGATAAATTAGATTTTGAATATAAGCGGCTAAAAGAAAAAGTTGACAGTCTTCAAAAAGAAAAAGATGTGAGTATATGTAATAAAACGTTTTGGTTTGAGCACTGCTAAAATTAGGGCAGTGAAATTTAATTCATCTTTTGACTATTAATTCATTCTATTTGTGATAAAAATGAGAGTTCCTGACTTCTCCTTGTGTTTCAGAAATAGATCTAAAATAAAAACGTTTTTATTTCCATTCTAACTTTTTTTATTCCTTTTCCACTGCTGCTGCCTCTTTTACACTGTTTTGCCCATAGCTAGATTTGTGTAGCTCTTGTTTTTCTGTATGATTGGTTCAGAGGATACTTCTTTCTCTTGGTTACCATGTGTTAAACCTTTTAAAAACACATTTACTTTGTCATGATTTATGAATATTTAAAATATTCTTTGATCATGTATGTCTAATGGGAAGAAAAAGAAATTATTTATCCTGGAGACCTACATCCATAATTAGATAAATTCTGGATTGAAATTGGAATTTTGCTTTTTTTCTTTTCAAAAAAACTTATGTACCATTAAGGTTAGAGTACATAGCTTTGCTTCTTTTATTTGTTTGTGGATAGTGTACAAAGATTACTTTGTACATAGTAATCAGTGTTGTTAAATGGAAAAAACAAAATTAAAAGAAAAAATACTTGATCTTTTTCTTACATTGTGGTTCTTGCAGAAGGAAAGATAAAAAGGTAAAATGTGTAAGTTCACTGTTGTTTACTACTTAGATAAGTTGAAGATTACTGATGAACAAACGTGTTATACAGGAGGCTAACCTGGTTTTTGTTTCTCCAGAGACTACGAACAGAAAGGGATTCCTTAAAGGAAACCATTGAAGAACTTCGATGTGTACAGGCTCAAGAAGGGCAGCTCACAACTCAAGGTAAATACAAGATGATTTATGAGGATACTTCAAAATTTCATGGAAAATGGAATGAAAAAATGATTATTTTGGTGCAAAAATTTGAAATCCATGCATATGGGAGGTCTTCATAAAGTTCATGGTGAATGCATTTTATGAAAAGACTACATGGATTTCAAAGTTCTTGCACCAAAATAAACATTTTTTAATTTATTTATTTGAATGGCAGAGTTACAGAAAGGCAGAGGCATTGAGAAAGGTCTTCTATCCCCTGGTTCTCTCCCAAGATGGCTGCAACAGCGGGAGCTGAGCCAATATGAAGCCAGGAGCCAGGAGCTTCTTCTGGGTCTCCCACATGGGTGCAGGGGCCCAAGGACTTGTTCCATCTTCTATTGCTTTCCCAGGCCACAGCAAAGAGCTGGATCCAAAGTGGAGCAGTTGGGAGTCAAAACGACACCTATGTGGGTTGCTGGTGCTGCAGGCAGCGGCTTTACCTGTTACACCACAGCGCACGCCCCACAAAATAAACATCTTTTAGTTTCATTTTTCTACATATTTTTTAAAGTTCCCTCATATTTCTGATGATATCAGTTAAAATATTAAGTTCACATTAAAGTGATTACACCAGTGGATTGAAATGGAAAAGTGGGGCCAGTGTTGTGGCGCAGTGGGTTAACACCCTGGCCTGAAGCGCCGGCATCCCATCTGGGCGCCGGTTCGAGTCCCAGCTGCTCCACTTCCCATCCAGCTCTATGCTATGGCCTGGGAAGGCAGTAGAAGATGGACCAAGTCCTTGGGCCCCTGCACCCGCATGGGAGACCCTGAAGAAGCTCCAGTTCCTGGCTTCAGATCGGCACAGCTCCTGCTGTTGTGGCCAATTGGGGAGTGAACCAGCAGATGAAGACCTCTCTCTCTCTCTCTCTCTCTCTCTCTGCCTCTCCTCTCTCTGTGTAACTCTGACTTTTAAATAAATAAATAAATCTTTAAAGGAAGAAAGATAGAAATGGAAAAGTGGTAAGAGGCAGTAAAACAGATGTTTTTAGCTGTTACCCAGGTTTTATAGGCTACAGTTGTGGGTCTAGATTTGGCTGCCCAATTAAAAGGAATTTTTTTTAAACATTTGAGATTCATTAGTTGAAAAGTATTTGTTAAAAATTATCTCTGTTTACCTGGAAAGTTTTATTCTGAAAACTTCTCATGACTTCCTTAAAGTTTATTAGACTTTTTAAATCAGTGATTTTTAAAATTTTTTCTCAAATGAAATAAGTGGAGTGGGTTTAATTTGGGAATTTGCATTCAAAACCTGTTGTTTGTGACCTGGTGGGGTCAGCACTTGGCCCCTCAGCCATCATGCTGGAGCCTGGGATTTTTGACAGATAACATGTAGCTTTGTTTTGTTCACTTTCACCAGAAACAAGCCCCTAGCATTTCTGTCACTTCCTTTCACCCGTGCTGTTTCCTTCTCTCAAGGCTGCTCTCTTAATTTCATCTTGTAAGCCCCTCTCTGTTGTCGCTGCCCATCAATTCTTTTCTGGCCTCCTTGTCCTGTTTACCTCACTACTCTTTCTCCCATCCTCTTCACCTGTTTCTATACTAGGCTTCTCAAATCCTGATTCAGACAGCCTAAAGTTTTTCTCCGTATTCCAAATAATTAAGGTCAGCTAAAGAAAATATGTATTTTTCTTGATTATCTTCACCAGAAATAAATCATTTCTAATTATAATCAGATCCTCATTGTTGGCCTGGCAATTCTTTCATGTATCTCTAATTAACTCCATAATGGTTTTTCCAAAATTCTAAGAATCTAACCAAAACCTTAACCCCTTTTCTCTTGATGTCTTTTTTTTTTTTAGAGATGTATTTATTTATTTGAAAGTCAGAGTTTCACAGAAGAGAGGCAGAGAGAGAGAGAGCGAGAGAGAAAGAGGTCTTCCATTCTATGGTTCACTCCCCAATTGGCTGCCGTTGGAGCTGCGCCAATCTGAAGTCAGGAGCCAGGAGCCTCTTCCGGGTCACCCACGCGGATGCAGGGGTCCAAGGACTTGGGCCATCTTGTACTGCTTTCCCAGGCGGTAGCAGAGAGGTCAATCGGAAGTGGAGCAGCCAGGACTTGAACCGGCGCCCAGATGGAATGCCGGCGCTTCAGGCCTGGGAGTTAACCCACTGCGCCACAGCTCCGTCCTCTCTTAATTTCTTTATCAAGAAAAGAAGAAAAAATATACATCTCATACATTCTTAAATTAGTTTATTTACTGCTTGTCAGATCCTTTGACCTAGGAGTTTTGCTGTAGTAATTTACCCTACCTCTGTTTCTCTCCCTGCCTTTCAAATAAATAAATAAGTAAATCCTTTAAAGAAAATGGAGAGATTTTATTATTCAGGTAATACAAAATTCCATATAACTAAGATGACAGTTCCCATATTTTAAAGTTTCAATGCGATCCCAGTCAAAAGCTCAGCAGACTGTACTAGTTGACAGTGACAAACTTATTCTAAAATTGTGTGAAAAGGCAGAGGAGCCAAAATAATACAAAAAAGCCTTGAAAAAATTGGAAAACTTACATATCTTGATTTTTAAAACTATTATGAAACTACTTTAAGACAGTATTGGACCTTCATAAAGATACCGCATTTGATATAATATACCACAACGATAAAAGGAAATGAAAAAAACACATGATATTCTCAGTTGTTTTAGATAAGACACTTGACAAAATGTAACACCTATTTGTGGTTTTTAAAACTCAGTAAACTTGGAAGGGGAGAAATCTTCCTCAACATGATGAAGACTATATATGAAAAACCTACATTTGCCCTCATATTTAATTTTAAAAGATTGAGGTATTCCCCTCTCAGATTAGGAATTAGGCAAATATGCCCTTTCTGTCACTTTTATTCAACATAGTACTGGAAATTCTGGCCAAAAAAAGAAAATTACATGTTTTTGCATGTCCACATAAGAAAGAATGAAGTCAGACCCTTACCTCACACCACGTACAAAAATTAATCAGACTTAAATACTCACATAAGTGCTGAAATTATACAGCTCTGGAATCCTCTTTCCCTTGGAGTGGTGGTGGTGACAGGCCTTGTGCAGTCATGGCCAAGATGGAGGCTTGTGACCTTGATGGCAAGGAGACGGAGGAGCTGCTGACAGCCAGATGCCTTGAGATGGTGCTGCCCATGCTGTGTCCACACTCTCCAAGATTCAAATTGTCCGAACGTCTGTTAGCTGTGTGTGCTCACCGTTGTTAACCAGGCCTAGAAAGAAAGTTCTACAAGGGCAACAAGTGCAAGCCCCTGGACCTGCAGCCCAAGCACGAGGAGAACCTGAAAACCACTCAGCAGCAGCTCAAGGAGCAGCTGTACCCTCTGGGGAAGTAGCAGTTAAGGCCTGAGCCCCGTGTGTCAACAGAAACATGAAAGCTTTTAAAAAAATTTTTTTTAGAAGAAAACACAAAGGAAAATCTTTCTGACATTGGATATGGCAGTGGTTCTCTGGAATTGATACCAAAAGCAGAGGCAACAAAAGAAAAAATAGATGAATTGAGCTTCATCAAAATTAAAAACTTTGGTTTCAGAGAAAAAGGTCAATCAAGTGGAGGCAATCCACAGAATAGGGAAAATATAAGCAAGTCATATATCTGCCAGAGCTTATTGTGTGAAAATTTGAAAAATTCCGTAACTCAACAGCAACACAAAACCAATTTACTATGGAAAAAGTACTTGAATACCTAAAGATAATATGCAGGCTGGCGCCACGGCTCAATAGGCTAATCCTCTGCCTTGTGGCGCCAGCACACTGGGTGCTAGTCCCGGTCGGGGCGCCGCATTCTGTCCCAGTTGCCCCTCTTCCAGGCCAGCTCTCTGCTGTGGCCAGGGAGTGCAGTGGAGGATGGCCCAAGTGCTTGGGGCCTGCACCCCATGGGAGACCAGGAGAAGCATCTGGCTCCTGCCTTCAGATCAGCATGGTGCGCCGGCCGCAGCGCGCCGGCCATGGTGGCCATTGGAGGGTGAACCAACGGCAAAGGAAGACCTTTCTCTCTGTCTCTCTCTCTCTCACTGTCCACTCTGCCTGTCAAAAAAAAAAAAAAATTAAAAAAAAATGGTAAAAAAAAATAAAGAGAATATGCAGTGGTCAGTAAGTACATGAGCAGGGACTCAGTGTCATTATTCATTAAAAAAATGCTAATTAAAACCTCAATAAAATATAGTGCCAGTTAGGATGGGTAATACCAGAAACATAAAAGAAAATAAATGTTGGCAAGGATATAGAAACAACCCAAATTTTTGGTAAGAGATGAAAATGTGTGTGCATACTATGGAACATTCACTGGCCATGAAAAGCAAAGAAGTTCTGATAAAAACTAACATGTATGAATCTGTAAAACACTGTGTTAAGTGAAGTAAGCTAGACACAAAGTTTCCATGAGTGCATGTATGTGAGGTGCTTCAAGTGGACAAATCATTGAGACAGAAAGTAGAACATGGTTCCCACAAGAGAAATGGAGTGTTACTTTTAGCTTAATGGTTGTAGAATTTCTGATTTGGGTAATGAGAAAATTTTTAAAATAATGGTGGTGGTACATAACTTTACACTTAAAGTGGTAAGACAATAATATTGTAAGACTACTGTGACATGATCATTTACTTGAGAAAAACTGATTTACCTGTGAAAATTAGTGTTCCCAAGTAGGGTTTCATGTATAACTTGTATCGTTGAGCTAAACTGTGTATTCATGTTTGTGTATTTACAGGGCTAATCCCTCTGGGAAGTCAGGAATCTTCAGACAGTCTGGCAGCAGAGATTGTTACACCTGAGATCAGGTAGGAGCGTGTGATGCTGGCAGTCCTGCACAGGACAACCTGGTTCTCTTGCAGTGTAAAGAAGCCAGTTCTTCATTGTCACTGATAACTTGCAACATGGACTCTGTTAACTCTATGTTCTCAGCATGTTGGAAGCTTTTTTTTTTTTTTCAAATTTATATTTATTTTGAAAGATGGGGGAAGGGAGAGACAGAGGGAGAGGGAGAGAGAAAGATTGATCTACCATTTGCTGGTTCATTCCCCAAATGGCTGCAACAGCCAGTTCTGGGTCAGGTGGAAACTAGGAGTCAAAAACTCTATCCTGGTCTCCCACTTGGATGGTGGACACTTGGATCATCTTCTGCTGCCTTCCCAAGCGCATTAGCAAGAAGCTGGATTGGAAGTGGAACAGCCAGCTCTCAAACTAGCACTCTGGCTTAACCAACCCACTGTGCCACAGCACAGGCCCAGAAGCTGTCTTAAACTGACCTAATAGAGAATTGATTTTTTTTTTTTTAAGATTTATTTATTTATTTGACAGAGTTACATGGAGAGAGAAGGAAAGGTAGAGAGAGACAGATCTTCCATCCGCTGGTTCATTCACCGGTTGGCCACAACTGCCGGAGCTGCACCGATCCAAAGCCAGGAGCCAGGAGCTTCTTCCGGGTCTCCCACACAGGTGCAGGAGCCAAGGACTTGGGCCATCTTCTACTGCTTTCCCAGGCCAAAGCAGAGAGCTGGATCAATAGTGGAGCAGCTGGGACTGGAACTGGTGCCCAAATGGGATGCCTGCACTGCAGGCGGTGGCCTTACCTGCTACGCCACAGCGCCGGCTTTGAGAATTGATTTTTAGTGGGACGATCTTTCACAAGCAAACTAATATATTTTGTGCATAGATATTGTAAACATTTAGCAATAAAAATACTTGACCCAAAAAGACAAGGCTATACTTAACTGGCAGCCTACAAAAAAAATTAATTACTGGGACCTGCACTGTGGTGTAGTGGGTAAAGCCACCGCCTGCAGTGCTGGCATCCCATATGGGCACCAGTTCGAGTCCTGGCTGCTCCACTTCCCATCCAGGTCTTTGTTATGGCCTGGGAAAGCAGTAGAAGATGGCCCAAGGCCTTGGGCCCCTGCACTTGCGTGGGAGACTGGAAGAAGCTCCTGGCTTTTGGCTTCGGCGCAGCTCCGGCCAATGCGACCAATTGGGGAGTGAACCAACAGGTGGAAGACTTTTCTCTCTCTCTGCCTCTCCTTCTCTCTCTGTGTAACTCTGACTTTCAAATAAATAAATGAATCTTTAAAAAAATTAATTACTAACATTTATTTTCTAATCACATGGATTTAAAATATGAACACTGAGTCTTTACTGCGATCTGATGTGCTACTTTATAATTGAACTGGTAAAATTATTGAGCCAATTAAAATTATGTAAACACTTATAAGTATTTTAGAGAAATAATTTTAGGGGCACTTATTGGTAATGCAGTTGGCTTTCTAATTGTGAAAAGAACAATGATAAAGATTCAGTAAATGTGACTTTTCTAATATGAGTAGGTACAGGTATAAGTTAAAATGCACTCTTATGTCCAGAGGACCTGTCAGGGAAATTAAATGATAAACTGGGTTGAAAATTTTGCAACTTAAGTCATAGACAGTGGGACGGTGGGTTAACATTTAATACATGTCATTGAAGTTAAGGGTGTGGAGGAATTGGAAACCTCATAAACTGGAGGTAAAGTGGTATAAATTTTCTTTTAAACAGATTATCAGAATCTGTTTGGATCTTCTGATCCAGAGATTACTTTTCTACAAGTTAATCTTAAGAGGTTAACCAAGGAGGCACCCAAAAGTGTATTTATAAAGCTGATCATTTTAACATGGTAAAGCCTAAAATTTATATCATGCTCATTAGTTCATTACTTAAATAAGTAATGACTGATTTATATATTTTAATATGTCATTTAAAAATATTAGTATGTAATTAATATGAAAAGATCATGAAATTTTAAGTATAAATAGCAGTACTAGTGTAACATGTACCAAGTGATCCCATTTCTTAAATATTTGCATGTGTGTGTACATAGACTCAGAAGGTACGTTTCAGCAGTGGTCATATGTCAATCTCAAATTGACTTTCTTTCCATTTCTCTTTTTGCCCTACAATGAGTGTTTACTTTTTGATTGAAAAATATGAACTCAGTGTTGCCTATATATCACATGTATTAAGTTCTGTGTAATTTCTTGAATTGGGTCACAAACCTGATTGTCATCTTTCAGTACAAACAAGAAAATACCAGTTTGTGTATGTGCAGAGAGTTTTGATTATTTTTAAACTTATTTTTATTTTATTTGAAAGAGTTACAGAGAGAGGTAGAGACAGAGAGAGGCCTTTTATCCGCTGGTTCACTCCCCAGTTGGCCGCAAAGGCCAGAGCTGTGCCGATCTGAAGCCAGGAGCTTCCTCCAGGTCTTCCACGTACGTGCAGGGGCCCAAGGACTTGGGCCATCTTCTACTGCTTTCCCAGGCCATAGCATAGAGCAGGATCAGAAGAGGAGCAGCCGGGTCTAGAACCGGCACTCATATGGGATGCCGGCACTTTAGGCCAGGGCTTTAACCCACTGCACCACAGTGCCAGCCCGAGAGTTTTGATTTTTTAAAAAAAATTTTGCTGTGCCTTTTATAGTGTCCTGGGACCCTCTGAAGATGACCCTGTGCAAGAGATCAGACAGTGGCCAAAGCTTAAAGGGACAGAATCCAAAGAAGGCAGTAGCTCTTTTCTCATATTACTCTGTACCTCTGAAAATTAGTTTGAAAGTGGATCTAAGCCCTAATTTCTGCAAAATAAATGCTGTTTTCTATGTTCTACTAAATAAATAAATAACCCTGTGTAAAGAAGTGAATTATACATTCAGTAAATCTATTTTCATACAATAATATGACTTGCACTCTGTCATCCCTGTAGTAAATGTGGTGGCAAGTTCTGTTGCTTTTAACATCTCTCCAGTTTAAGATTTTGGTGTAACACAGAGCCCAGAACAATCTAGTTCAATAATCTAATAGTCTGACTTGTTATAAGAATATAATTTTACCTATATATAGGCATGGGTAGGTTGCATATTTTGATGGCAATCTTCCTTGCGTTTATATCTTTCTACCAAGTAATTGGTAACATAATAATACAGCATTGGAAATCATGTTCACTGGTGAGAACCAAGGAACACATTGTTGAATGCATAGCTTAAATATTTAAATCAGAAAATAGGATTTTGAAGTCTCATTCATTACATATTATGATATTTGAGACTCTATTATCTTCAGATTGTGTATTGTTAAAAAGAAAGTACTTGAGACCCAAAATTAATATTTTAGTAGTTCTGATAGACACTAAATGCCCTGCAGGTAGTTTGTTTTTCATCTGTGCTCTATGTATTAAATCTGTAACTGCACACAACTAGGTTTTGATATTTATATTGTATTGATAAAACAGATAATCAGTTTTTATTTTATTCATTCAGGGAGAAACTTATTCGTCTTCAGCATGAGAATAAGATGTTAAAACTTAACCAAGAGGGTTCAGACAATGAAAAAATTGCCTTACTGCAGAGTCTTCTAGATGATGCAAATCTACGTAAGAATGAACTGGAGACAGAGAATAGGTAGAGTATCTGTAGATGGCCTGGTTTAGCCACAGGTTTTCCCTGTTTGCTTTGATTTTGATTTCCTTAAACAGTTGTTAATTGTGTTTTGAAAAGTGGTCTGTGCTATTCTTTTTTAGGAGTACAATAATCCATCTCTCCACTTTCGAACAGATTGACTAAAAAGTGTTGTGTTTCTTTTTAGTAGCACTTATCCTCTATTTTTTTTTAACCAAATGACCAAAACTCTAACATTTATTCTTTCTAATCATTGGTAAAAACTAGAGGACTTTTGAAAACATCATTGCTAACTCACAGTCTTTCACCAGCTGTTTCAATTCATAGTCATCATTAGGTTAATAAAGTTACTCTGTTCTCAAAGGCTGATGTTTCAAAGGCTCTATTGATATGGAGGGAGCAATAGGATCCATCATAATTGAATTGACAAAGCATCTCAGCTGTTACTCATTGTGATCCTATAAGGAAATCACCCCTCTAATGAACCATTCAGTTATTTTGAGAAATTTAGAACCTGGCAATTTTAACAAGAGAATCACTTTTCTACTTGTAAGTTTTTAGAATATTGTGTTATAACAGGAAATGTCAGTTACTTTAAAATCAGTAACTGACAAGGGCTACTTTTTAATATTTTGTTGTGACTGTCTTTTGGCTCTTTCCTTTTGTTTTTTCTTAAGATTGATTTATTTATTTGAAAGGCAGAGTTACAGAGAGAAGAGAGCGAGAAAGAGATCTTCCGTCTGCTGGTTCACTTCCCAGATGGCCACGGCAAAAGCCAGGAGCCCAGAGCTTTATCTGGATTTGCTGTGTGGTTGTCAGGGGCCCAAGCTCTCAGGCTATCTTCTGCTGCCTTCCCAGGCACATTACCAGGGTGCTGGATAGGAAATAGAGCAGCCAGGACTGTAACCAGTGCTCGTATGGCATGCCGGCATCACTGGTGGCAACTTATCCACTGTGCCACAAACCGGCCCCCTGTTTTCCTTTTTGGAAATATTTATTAGGTAGCAAGCAGATAATGTCATTCCTTTTTCTTACTGCTATGATAATTCTGTTACTTTTAAGGATTTTGGCATTTTTATGTCAAATACGATATCAGGCATAGTTTGCCTGACATTATAGATTCTTTCTTTATTTTGTCTGATTGATTTGGTATTTCCCAGATGACAATCAGCTTTGTGAGTCGAAATTACTCTGACAGTTTTGCATGTATAGCTCTTCATGTGGCTTTTTATTTTAAAGCCATTGAGGTAGAAAGAGCCAAGAGTGTAAGTCGATGTAAATACTGGGGTGATTGATTATAAGAGTTCCATTAAAGTTAACAGAAGGGAGAAAATATACATCCACTCTTAGGAGTACAGAGAATCAGTAGCTGTTTTTCTTTTTCTTTGTTTTTTTTAAGAACTGAAGTGGAAAATGGAGGTGGCGGAGAAGGGGCAATTGTAGAAACAGCTGCCAGTCTTTCAGTCCCTGTGAGGAAAGTAACCTTGTGTTTGCCTCATTACCCCTTGGTCTCTGGGCTTTATTTTAACCATTCTAGTCAGGAAAGCTGCTCCCTACTCTGAATTGTTTTTCACTGAAAAATATACCTTCTCCACAATTTCCTTGTTTGTCATAGACTTTTACACTTAGAGCTCTTGTTTCATCAGAAACAGCACAGCTGGTTGCCATCGATTCAGCCTCTGTGGGCTGGGATGACTGACTACAGTGGCCCAGATTCCTGTGTTAGTTACAGGGGTTCTCCACTCAGGGCAGCGTTTCCTTGCCTTTAGATAGCTGCCCCCAACGATCTAAACAATAATAACAAGTTAATATTTACTAGGCATCTCCTTGTTCCAAACATTATGCTAGATGATTTGAACATTTTGTGTTCCTTATCTTTATGGATGTTTTACAGATGAGGGACTTGGACCCAGACCCCGGCTGGCTGACTCCAAAGCCTCTGTACCTAACCCATCTGTCTCCTACCATGGTTGTTCAACATGTATTCTTTTTCCTGTCTTCCTCTCATAGGATGCTTTTTCTCTTAAGTGACTCACCCTAAGTTTGTTATGACTCAGGTTTGTAACTGTTTACATTACCATGTCTTCAGCTTAATCTCTTACTAGGTTACTGTACTGACTGAGCACCAGGAGACCTGAGATTTGCCTCCAGTTTCTTAGCTGTATTACCTTACAACTGTGTTACCTTAGATACAGTCTGCTTAGCAACCATATATTACCTGGTGGAAGGCAAGCTTTGTAGTAGACCTCTAAAGGCCTTTCCAGTAAGTTTTCCCAAAAAGTTTTCCATCCATAATACCACCTGTTGAGGAAACAATACTGGGAGAGGGATGAAGTGTTGAGAGCAGAGCTGTTTCAGAACTGCTGAAGGAGCTTTCTCAAAGTGTACATCCTCTTACTCCCATCCGTCTCAGAAGGGATTATCATCTCTCCTTACTCCTCCCTGCCAGCTACGTATGCAGCAGTTACTAGACTTTGATTAAAATGTTAGCTAACAAAATCCCTGCAGAGGGATGAATCAGGAAGGCAGAGGCAGCTCCCATGCTCAGGATACTTGCTGTGTGCAGGCAGGGTACTGGACATACTGCATGTATTATTTCACTTAATCCTCCACACAGCCCATGAGGTAAGCATTAGTGTTTTGTTGCTCGTACACTGGTAACAGTTATATTGCCATGCTTGCTTATCTGTTCCCAGTGCTGCACATTTGAGTTCTTTTTACAACCTCCCAAGGGACATCTTGGCATGGACTGATTCATGGCCTCTACAATAGCATGTACCTTGTAAACTTACAGTATTAGTTGATGAAATAATCTCAAAAACAGGTAGTTGAAATAGTCTTATAGTTTGATAGTGTTTCCATATTGCTATCTGAAAAGGTTGAACAAAGTCAGTGTCACCACTGTTATATTTACATACATGTATACCGATGTTGAACATGGATTTTCACATGATTTGATATAACTTGTTGAGTAAAAAAAACAATATTGAGCTCTCTGGCTATTTGGATTCTAAATACTTGTGGCCTTGTTTGTCCTTAATTTGAGACAGTCTGGTTTCTACTACCATATCACTAAAGTATGTCTTTTATGTATTCTTAAAGATTTATTAATTAATTTGAAAGTTACAGAGAGGGAGTGGGGGAAAGGTCTTTCATTTGCTGGTTCACTCCCCACATGGCCACAACGGCCGGGGCTCAGCCAGGCCAGAACCAGGAGCTTTTATCTGGGTCTCCCACATGGGTGGCAGGGGCCCAAGCACTTTGGCCATCTTTTGCTGCTTTTCCTAGGCTATTAGCAGGGAGCTGGATTGGAAGTAGAGCAGTGGAGACAAGTACAAGAACCCATGTGGGATCTCGATGTTGCAAGTGGCAGCTTTACCTGCTATACCACAATGCCAACCTCTATTCTTAAATTTTTTATTTATTTGAAAGGCAGAGAGAGCTGCCTTCTGCTGGTTCACTCCCCAAATGCCTGCAACTCAACCCGAGTCTCCTGCATAGATGGTTGAACGAATGACTTGGGCCATCACCTGCTGCCTCCCAGGAAGCTGGAATCAGGAGCTGAGCCAGGCACTCCTATGTGGGATACAGGCATCCCAAATGACAACTTAACCACTGGGCCAAATGTTCACCCCACTGAAGTATTTCTTACAAAAGTAAATAATTATCTCTTAAATAGCCAGTCCAATAGGAGACTTCGAGACATGTTTCCTCACCTCTTCACTGTATGCAGTGTTGTTGCTCAGTTCCTCTTCAGTGATTTTGGCTTCAGTAACACCTCCCTCTTATGTTTCTGATTATTCTTCACGATGGAGTTCCTCTTCCTGAAGATCCCTTGGCTGATCTGCCATGACCATCTTTCTTCCGCATTTCCACTCTTCCACCTTCTTTCTGCTGGTGTTGTTTATACTCCTAGCCTCATATAGCTCTGGGTCTGTGTTTGACTCAGACTTGCCTTGTGCTTCAGGGTCACACACCTAGCTGCTGGACTCCCATTTCCAGACAGTTCATGTTCAACAAATGCGAAATCAGATCCGGTGCTTTCCTTTCTCAGTCTGCTCCCTCCTGTCTTTCCTTTCTCAGGAAATATCAAAATCCTAAGAGTTTTTTTTTTTTTTTTTGCCAGGCAGAGTGGACAGTGAGAGAGAGAGACAGAGAGAAAGGTCTTCCTTTGCCGTTGGCTCACCCTCCAATGGCCGCCGCAGCCAGTGCACTGCTGCCGGCGCACCGCGCTGATCCGATGGCAGGAGCCAGGTGCTTCTCCTGGTCTCCCATGGGGTGCAGGGCCCAAGCACTTGGGCCATCCTCCACTGCACTCCCTGGCCATAGCAGAGAGCTGGCCTGGAAGAGGGGCAACCGGGACAGAATCCGGTGCCCCGACCGGGACTAGAACCCGGTGTGCCGGTGCTGCAAGGCGGAGGATTAGCCTAGTGAGCCGTGGCGCCGGCCAGTGTTATTTTTGATGTATTCTTTTGTGTTTTCTCAAAACATTTCTTCCTCTGTCACCTACATTTGTATCTCAGGTTTATTTAGTAGTAATAATTGTAATAGCTTCGTCCCAGTCTTCATGCCTGCTCTTTGACCTGTGCTTAAGCTCTTACATTTATATTTATTTATTTACTTTATTTGAAAGGCAAAAAGGGAGAGAGGAAAACAGACTGAGAACCAAAGATCTCCCATACCTGCAACATCTGGGGCTGGGCAGGCCAAAGCTGGGAACCAGGAATTCAGTCCAGGTCTCCCATGTGGGCAGCACAGGGACACATCATCTGCTTCCTCCTAGGGTACACACATTAGCAGAAAGCTGCAATCAGAAGCAGAACCAGGACTCAAACCCAGGCACTCCCAATATGGGATGAAGGTGTCTCAGCCAGCATCCTAACCACTACACCAGACATCTGCTCTTGGTGTTTTTATAACATTTTCCACTTTAAATTCAATGTACCCTGTCTAAAATACTATCTGATCATGTTTTCCTCTTCTTGGAACCCTTCAGTATCACCCAACACCTAGGAAACAACTGATCTACTAAATGTAAACCTAGAGAATTTATGAAGCCCTGGAATCAGCATTTTAGAAGTCATCTGGGTTATTCCAATTTCAGCCAAATTTAAGGATTTTCAATTGTAAGATAAATTCCAGACTCTCTGTGTTTCATACAGGGTTGTATCCTACCTGTTTCGTTTCTCCATTCTTCTCCTTATAACTTATTCTTCAGCCATACTGTTCCAGAACACACTGTAACGTTGAATTTTTTCTGTACATTTTTTTGTACATACTGACCTCTGTCTTTAATCCTCTTTTACTCTTAACCACTTAAGTATATTATTTATTGTTCTAATCTCAATTCAGGTCAAGCCTGTAACTCTTCCATAGAATTCTTGATTCTTTGAGCAGTCACCATTTCATTTGTATACCTGTGCACACTATTGGGAAGTATTTATTTCACTGTATTTTTAGTTGTTTACATGTTCACCTTCACACAAGACTTTAGCTCGCTTGAATGCAATGATCTTGTAATAATCAGGCTGAGCCTAGTGCCTGACACAGTCTGCATGAACATTTATTGAAGGGAATCCAGATAAATAAGTATTTGCAAGTACATCAGATCCAGAAAGCAAAACTACATTTGAAAACATCATTAGAGATTTCAAGCAATATGAAGATAATATGAAAAGTGAACTCAGAACATGAGGCTGCTAACTCTACAACTACCGCTATATATTTCTGTATCATGAGGCTTTATTTTGCTAATTACACTCCTGTCTAACCAGTATGACTACTAAAGGAAAAAAAAGGCATGCCAGTATTTGGAAAATTAATGTACATTTGATTTCTAGGCTGGTGAATCAAAGACTTCTGGAAGTACAGTCACAAGTCGAAGAATTGCAAAAATCTTTACAGGATCACGGCTCAAAAGCAGAAGATGTAAGTTTTATTATGTCCCAGCCATGGCCAAAACTTCTACAATATTGAGAAAGGCTACAATTTTTATTTTTTATTTGATGATCTCTATTCAAATAGCTTAGTATTGTATTTATTATAAAAATCAGAGTAGTTTCCTTTTACAACATTTTGTATAAAAGCCTAGACAGTACTTTATTGTCTTAGATTCAGTCTGTTGAAGTTCGTGTCAAGTTGTTAGCTAAGCGTAGACATTTGTAAGGTAGAAAATTTTAATGTAAACTTGATAATTTGGAAAATAATGCCGTCTCTAGATTTGAGTCCTGCTCCTCCCCCTTCACTCTCACCATTCGTTGGAGTCCCTGAGTGCTCTGCACATGTCTTCCTTGGCTTCGCGGGCCCAGACTTTCACCTGGAATATGCTATAGACAGTGAGCCAAGGACTGTACCTTCACTTCAGCATCTGACCATCTGACACAGTGCTTAGGTGACATGTAGTGCTCATCAGTCCCTGGCAAAGTATGAATCAGTCATCTTTCTACATGTGCTTTGCATTTAATAAGCAACATGCATTAGAGCTTACTTGTAAAGTGTTCAGGGAATAGGGTCAAAGGAGGAAAAATGACATTTTAGTGACTGATCTTCTCTTCAGTCAGTTCTTTTGTTGTTATTTTTTTCCCCTGTTGCGTGTGTATTTGCTGTCAACTCTGGCATTTAAGTATAAATCTACTTGATTGTTTCCATTGACGATTGTTTTGGAGGATCAACTTCCAAATCATAGATACAGACAGTTACATCCAGCCTTACTAACATAAAAGAAAAGCAGTCAAAGAAGGGAAGTTGAGCATATCAATGGAAACTTGAAAATACTAGATATAAAATCTCACCAAGAACTTAATTTTTATCAGTTTCTCCAAATATACCTCTTGTTTCTATTGGCAACATGTTCTTTTTTCTGATATTGGTGATTTTTATTTTATCTCTTACTTATTACCAACATTTAAACTACCTTTGCCCTTATTAAAATGAAACTAGTTTGTAATGCCTTAGAAAAAACAGATGTTTCTATCTAAAATGTGAAGACACAAAGAGGTGAAATAAAACCATCATTAATGTATTAAAATTCTAAACCTAATTATGAGCATATTAGAGATGAGCCCAAAAAGGTAACACTTCTGAAGTCATTGAAATCACTTTATCCCTAACCTGAGGTAAATGTAAATTCGTTCTGATCTCTAAAATTTGGAGGAGACTTTTTGATTTGCTAGGTTAAGGAAGGGAAGGGCATATAATATATGGGAGGTAACAGCAGTGAAACATCAGTGTTGGCTGAACTTCACCTACTGCTATGCTTTATCCTCCTTCACTAAAGCACAGATGAAGTAATGTACTTGAGAAGTGAGATGCCAGTCCTACCAAGTACTGGTTTTGTGATTAGTCAGCTGCCTAGATGCTAGTGAGACATCATGCTCAAAGCCATGCAGATTTGGTGTTTTTGCCTCACTGTTCTCTCTCACTAACCTTCAGTGCTGCATCTCAGGCATGTGTACACAGAGAGAACCTGCCAGATGGAATTGGTTCCCTCTGAAGAAGAACAACATAATTTCTGCCTGTTTCTGTTACCAAAAGCAAAGTCCTTTCATGTGACCAAGTCAGAGTAGGATGATTTGCACATTTTTATTATTTTTATGTCATTTGTTTTTAGCATGGAAGCAGAAAAGCATTGTTATATCCAGTCATGTGGATAATTTGAGCTAGCCACAGTATATAAAACTCCAGAGAACAAGACAGGATGAGGAGACCATAGAAGAAAGAAAAATGTACATTTCTGAAACAAAATGCGTATCTTTTACTTCTGTTCATGAATTACTAAATCAAATCGTTCCTTCTATTGGCTGCTGTGTTTGCTTCATACTAATATGTCCTCTCTGTCTCTTGGCATGGTTTCTGCTCAAGGCTATTGTAAGTATGGCTTCCTATTCATTTCTATATATTGAGCAGTTTTTAAATTTATACATGATCTGACATCACAGTTGATGGTATTGAAATTTTAAATTTAAGGCACTTTTATGCAAAATGCATATACTAGCTTTATTTGCCTTACAGATTTATGACCTTTTCAGTTAACATACTTAAAGGATATAAAAATCATAAAAAATTAAGCCAACGAGTATAAGTATACTCTTGTTTTTGTTTTTGTTTCGGCTTTTCCCTCATCTGACTTCATTATGGCAACTCATATATAGAAGATATTGTGGTACTAGCTTCTTATCACAGTCTACTACATATTTTGATAGTAACAGTTGTCAGTTTGGAGAGGCATTGTGGCATAAGAAACGTGAAAGTGAAGACTATGCACAGCCTTTGGAGTCTGGCAGACCTGGCTGTTCATCTGGGTCTGTCCCTTAAACACTACTAAATATTCTTTAGCCTCATCTCCTTCAATTGTTAGACGGGGCCAATATGACACAGTGTTGTGAGATTTGCGTAAGACAATGTGAATGGCTTGCTTTAGTGCCGACTCTGGCATATTAACGATACATTTAATTTTTTAGAAATATATTATCTCAGTTAAAATTAATGGTGCTAGAGGTAATGAAAATATAAGTATAAAAATAAAGCTAATGGTTCTTTAAAAAGTATTTACACGTTGCTGTCTGTACTAAAGAAGAAACAAGCAGTAGTCAAAAGGTAATAGAGCTGTTATCTTGGTATATTTGGGGGAAACAGTGATATAGGAGACTCTGGTTCACTGATAGGCTGTGGTTAACATACTGCACAAGGAAGTGGATTTGAAATCTCCTGGAGCTGAGTTAGTATGCACTTGAATAAATAGTTACTGGTAGCTGTTATTAAAAGGCAACTGAAAATTAAAGAACGTGGCATGAAGGATGTTTTTCCCTCATTGCTGCTATGGATTGCTGGGACAGTTTGTCTATACTAATTGGAGTTTTACTGTATTAATTGTTTTAACTATTTTTCTCAGAATGAAATGTTTCATAAAATTCATTAATACCTACCTTACAAGTATTTAATTATGAAACTGAGCAATCCTATAAAGAATGGCTTTATTGTTGGTCAGCTTTTATTTCCTGCTTTTCAGGAGAATTTTTTCTTTTTTTTTCAATACCCAGTCAGAGCTGCATTTTCCAGCATCTTAAAAATGTGTACATATACCATCCTTCATATTTGCATACCATTGTATAAATGATTTGCAACCTATGCATATTCATAAATCACTGGTTAAGTCAGTAAGTCTGGAAATTGAACCAAGACTTTATTGTGCAAGGAAAGCAATAAAACAGATGAACAATGTCTTAGGAAAAGCCTGTTGCTGTTAAGAGTATTCCTTGCCTGTTGAATCCAGTAATATTAAATGTATACTTAATATGTGATTTTTTCATTCATTTCTTTGACTACAAAGAATGCAAATATCCAGTTTCTGGATATTTTATACTGATTGCTCCTACTTATGGGCTGCCTTCTTCCTTAATTAAAGAGAATTAAACTGATACATGGTGTGTTTTGAACTCTTTGACCAAAGAAATTACTAAGGGCTTACTAAATGTCAGTTATTACCGTACTCTTAATTTTTAAAAAATTATTTACTATTTAAAATTCTATGTAATAAGTTAATTTTCATTTTCCATTTTCAGTCAGTTCTTCTAAAAAAGAAGCTTGAGGAACACCTGTAAGTATGACAGCTGTTGAAGCTTGCTCTTTTGCTGTGGAACCTCAGTGCTTGTGTCCGGTGGTTATGGAGGCGGTAGTCAGTGGCACAGCAAGGAGCAGAGAATTGAAAGCGAGTGGACGGTGTCCAGAGGGTTGTCCCCGCCCCGGGTTCTCAGGTCAAAACAACTGCATTAGCACCATTCTCTCACAGAGACATGAAGAGACTTGTGTCTTCCTGATGTATGTATGATCAGGTCAGGGATCGGAGACACTCAGAAGTCTTTTTCTATAAGGGCCCCGTAGCGATGACTGTCGACTGCCGGCCCCAGTCTGCATCACAGCTACCAGCGCTGTGGCTGTGGCTGTGACTGTGGCTTGAAAGCTGCTGGGATGGACAGGAACTGGCAGTGTGACTGCTACAGTAGGACTCCCTCTGAGGGACAGGCAGCCGGCTAAGCCAGCCTGTGGGCTGTAGTGAAGTGTGGCTAGCTGAATCTTCGGCCTTAAGCAGATTTTCGAACATTTTCTTGAATTACAACCAAGTAGGACTTCCTCATCTAAATGATGAAATATAGTCTAAAATGTCCACATTTGTTTCTTCCTGAAGACAGTGTTAGGAAACTTCATAATTTTTCTTGCACTGAGAACAACCTCTATCCTTCCTGTCACATTTGAGCCAAGCTCCTTGCAGGCTCTGAAGACAGAGTGACCTTGAACTGTCAAAGTGTTCCACTGTCACACTCTGCTAAACTAGACACAGAGATAATTTCTACTTGTTCTGCTGCGAGTGGAAAGAAATCCCGGAACAGTGTGCCATTTGAATGCGCGGATTCCTGATGTCCAGAATATCCAGAATTTCTGTTCAGTATTTTCATACTGCAGCTGACTGAAGAAAGGGAAGCCATGGGTAAGGGGGACAGGTGTATGTCCATCTTCACCTGCCCGCTGATAAGGACACCAGTCGCTGGATCTAGGGCCAGCACTGATCCAGTATGACCTCCTCTTTCCCATTTACATCCAATTTCCAAGTAACACCACCTTCACAAGTACTAGGGGTAAGATCCTCAGGTTACTTTTTTGGGAAAAACAGTTAAAACCCCCTCCCCCTCCACATCACAAACAGTTGTCTCAAAAGATAGTCAATCTCAGATGGCCCAGGTGGCTGGGTCTCTGCCCCCGACATGGGAGACCTGGATGGAGTTCTAGGCATCCAGCTTTGTCCTGGCCCAGGGTCAGTTGTTATGGCCATTTGGGGAGTGAACCAGCAGATTGGAAATTTGTGTGTGTGTGTGTGTGTGTATCTGTAACTCTGCCTTTCAAATAGATTAATTAAATCTTTATTTTTAAAAACTAGTCTATCATACAAATTTCAAAAACATTGGAGACCACTTTAAACATACCAAATTGGTAAAAAAAAAAAAAAAATTAAGATCAGACTTAGTAACTGCTGCTGAAGATGTTGAACGATGCTAGGTCTTATCCGCTGCCAGTAGCAGTATTCATCAGTTCATTTAATAAACTTGGACACACATATATTCAGTTCTGTATATGCCATAGATATTTAGAAATACTGCTCTCTGTGTGTAGTGAGAGATAGAGAAGTAATTGTGGGAAAATATGATCGGTAAACACAGAACAGCAAAAACAAGACAAATATCCACTAGTTGGAAAGTGATAGAATGAGGTAAATTTAAACAATAGAACAGCATTCATTGGTGAAAATGTGTAAACTGAGCTAACATCAACATAGATGACTTAAGAACAAGTGTCATAAAGGATCCAAGTCAGGGCCATCCTTAATGAGTGATGGGTAAAGTAACAGTTGGGTAAAACTAAGCAGTACTGTATTCAAGGATAACACATAGGTAATAAAACCATCAGGAGAATGATTAAAAATCTAGAGTTTGATGGCAGACATTTGGCCTAGCAGTTAAGAAGCTGGTTGGGAGGCCTGCATCTCACATCAGAGTGCCTAGGTTCGAATTTAGCTCCTGGTCCCAATTCCAACTACCTGCTGATGCATACCTTGGGAGGCAGCAGGTGAAGGCTCAAGTGTTGGGTCCCTGCCACACATGTGGGAGATCTGAATTGAGTTCTCAGCCTTCTGGCTTTGGCCTGACCCAGCCCTGGCTGCTGCAAATATGGGGAAGAGGGAGAGCTTTCTCTCTGTCTGTCTCCTTTTCTCTCACATAGTTTTTCTTCAAAATCGTGGACGTTAAGAAGAGGTTTCAGACACGTGTAGCTCCTAGGGTTTGGGGATAATTTCTATTTCTAAACACAGTGGTGATTCACTGGTGTTGGGTTTTTGGTTGTTTCAGGGTTGCTTAAGAGAGTTCTTATTTATTTATATGTTAACAGAGATACACAGACAGAGGTCTTCCATCCACTGGTTCACTCCCCAAATGCCCACAGCAGCTGGGTCTGGGCCAGGCAGAAGCCAGGAGCCCAGAACTCAGTCCAGGTCTCACACGGGTGGCAGGAACCCAACTATTTGAGCCATCACCTGTTGCTTTCCAGTGTGCATCTCAGGAGGAGGCAGGAATTGGAAGTGGAGCCAGGACTTGAACACAAGCACTCTAATATGGAGTGCAAGTGTCCAAGTAGACAACGCCTACCCCAGGGGCGTGGTTTTTTTTCTTCTCCCCCTTTATATTGTATATTATATTTATATTGAATCTGGTACATCACGTGTCACACATGTTACACCCATAATAATAATTTATTGAAAGAGAATAAGGTTTGTGAAAGTATTAGGCATAGAAAAATCATAAATAGGCCTAACAGAGCACTCAGTTTATCTTCCAGTTTTTACAACCTTTTTTCCAGCTCATGCAATATAAATATAGTGTGACACTAAATACTATAAAACGACAATGACACATATAAAAACTAGGAAAGAAACTTGCTTTCTGCCAATTACTTCTTTTATATTCGGATATTACACAGAGTAAAAACATTAAAAAGTTCCTAAATTCATAGCTTGCAGAATGTTAACCTACATAATTCAGATCAACATGGTCCCAGCGACCCAGCAGAATGCTCGGTCCTCCCTGCTGCTGATTGGTCTTGGCCCTAGCCTAACATTCTGCTGACATCTGGCACTTACATTAAGTTTCAAAATTCATATAAATGTAATCCCACAGTACTCTCCTTTGTACTTCCTTTGTTCAGCATTATTCTCATATTTATGTGGTTGCATGTATCATTAGTTCATCATTTTTTATTGATTCCATTGTATATTTAGAACTTCATTTTTTTTACAACAAGATTTGCCATTGTAAATCCTCTCCAAAGTTTTAAATTTAACTTTTTACAGTATCCTTATTCTTCAAAAAAATAAAGATCTATACTTTCTTACACAGGCTTAAATGAAAGAAGTGACTATTGTCCCAAGTGAAAGAGGAAATTTTTGTCTTTACTGTACAGTTAACTTTAACATATTATTAAATTTGTGTCAATTAGTCTTTCATATTTGTTTCATAGCACTTCGGAGAACTGCAAATGTACTCCAGATATATGGATCTTAGACCTTTACTTTGAATCAAAAACAAAAACACTAGATGACACAGTATTGCATGTTTTGTTACAGAGAGAAGCTGCATGAAGCCAATAATGAATTGCAGAAGAAGAGAGCCATTATTGAAGATCTTGAGCCAAGGTTTAACAATAGTTGTGAGTATTTCCTCATTAGCATAGTTTGTTTTGCAGTTAATTAATTAATTTTTTCTCCCAGAAAACTTTTATTTAAAGAATGCAAATGTCATGCTTTTCATAAATACAACTTTAGGAATATAGTGATTCTTCCCACCATTCTTGCCCTCCCATTTAGACTCCCACCCATCTTCCTTCTCTCTCTCCTATTCTCATTATTTTTTACTAAGATCTATTTTCAATTAACTTTATACACATACAATTAACTCTACACTAAGTAAAAAGTTCAACAAATTGTATGAGAAAGAAAAACTGTTCCTCAACCATGGAGACAAGGGCTGTTCAAAGTCATTTTTTCTCATAATGTTAATTTCACCCACACAGACACACAAAGTATAAAGTACTGTTTGAAGACTGGTTTTACCGTTGATTCTCTTAGTGTAACTCGTTAAAGACAGAGGTCCTACATGGGGAACAAGTACACAGTGACTCCTGTTGTTGATTTAACAATTAACACTCTTATTTATGACATCAGTGATCACCCGAGGTTCTTGTCATGAGCTGCCAGGGATATGGAAGTCTCTGAGTCCACAAAGTCTAACATTATTTAGACAAGGCTGTAATCAAAGTGGAAGTTCTCCCTTCAAAGAAAGGAAGATGGCCCCTTCTTTCCACTGAGATCTCATTCACAGAGATCTTTCATGCAGGTCATTTTTTGCCACAGTGTCTTGGCTTTCCATGCCTGAAATACTTTCATGGGCTTTTTAGCCAGATCCAAATGCCTTAAGGGCTAATTCTGAGGCCAGAGTGCTGTTTAGGGTGTTTGTCATTCTATGAATCTGCTGTGTGGCCTGTTTCCCATGTTGGATCGTTCTCTCCTTTTTAATTCTATTATTATTAGCAGACACTTGGTCTTATTTATGTGATCCCTTTGATACTTAATCCTATCTTTATGATCAGTTATGAATTTAAACCGATCACTTTACTTAGTAAGATGGCATTGGTACCTGCCAACTTAATGGGATTTGGAGTCCCATTTCAAGTTTTTAGCTTTACCCTTAGGGGTAAGTCCCAGGGAACATGTGCCAAACTATACACTTCCTCCCTCTCTTATTCCCACTCTTACTTTTTTTTTTTTTTTTTTAACAGGTAGAGTTAAACAGTAAGGGAGAGAGAGAGACAGAGAAAGGTCTTCCTTTCTGTTGGTTCACCCCTGTCCCCCCACAATGGTCACTACGGCCGGTGCTACGCCAATTCGAAGCCAGGAGCCAGGTGCTTCCTCCTGGTCTCCCATGCGGGTGCAGGGCCCAAGCACTTGGGCCATCCTCCATTGCCCTCCTGGGCCACAGCAGAGAGCTGGACTAGAAGAGATGCAACCAGGACAGAATCCGGCGCCCCAACCGGGACTAGAACCTGGGGTGCCAATGCCACAGGCAGAGGATTAGCCAAGTGAGCCACGGCACCAGCCTCCCACCCTTACTTTTAACAGGGATCAATTTTCTATTGGATTTAAACACATAAAAATAATTCTGTTTTAAGTAAAGAGTTCAACCAATGGTATTAAGTAAAAAAAGAACTTGCTAAAAAAGAATAAAATAGTAAGTTATTCCTTGACAGTCAGGACAAGGGCTGATCAAGTCATTGCTTCTCGTAGTGTCAGTTTCACTTCTACAGGTTTCCTTTTAGGTGCTCAGTTAGTTGTCATAGGTCAGGGAGAACATATATTTGTCCCTTTGGGACTGGCTTATTTTTTTAAGTATGATATTTTCCAGAATCATCCATTTTGTTGCAATGGCTGGATTTCTTTTTTTTTTTTTAACCACTGTATAGTATTCCATAGAGTACATGTCCCATAATTTCTTTATCCAGTCTTCCATTGACGGACACTTTAGGTTGATTCCATGTCTTAGCTATTGTGAACTGAGCTGCAATAAACATGGAGGTGCAGATAGCTCTTTTATTTGCCTATTTCATTTCCCTTGGATAAATTCTGAGGAATGGAATGGATGGGTTGTATGGTAGGACTATGTTCAGATTTCTGAGGTATCTCCAAACTGTCTTCCGTAGTGGCTTTACCAGCTTGCATTCCCACCAACAATGGATTAGGGTACCTTTTTCCCCACATCCTCGCCAACGTTTGTTGTTTGTTGATTTCTATATGAAAACCATTCTAATGGGAGTGAGATGAAACCTCATTGAGGTTTTGATTTGCATTTCCCTGATGGCTAGTGATCCTGAGCATTTTTTCATGTGTCTCTTGGCCATTTGGATTTCCTCTTTTGAAAAATATCTGTTTAAGTCCTTTGCCCATTTCTTCACTGGGTTGTTTGTTTTTGTTGTTGTTGTTGTTGTGGAGTTTCTTGATCTCTTTGTAGATTCTGGTTATTAATCCTTTATCAGTTGCATAATTTGCAAATATTTTTTCCCATTCTGTCGGTTGCTTCTTCACTTTCCTGTTTCTTTTGCAGTACAGAAACTTCTCAATTTGATGTAATCCCAATTGTTAATTTTGGCCTTGACTACCTGTGCCTCTGGGGTCTTTTCCAAGAAGTCTTTGATTATGCCAATATCTTGCAGTGTTTCTCCCATGTTCTCTAAGAATTTGATGGTGTCAGGTTGTAAATTTAGATCTTTAATCCATGTTGAGTGGATTTTTGTGTAAGGTGTAAGGCAGGAGTCTTGCTTCATTCTTCTACATGTGGAAATGTATTTTCCTAGCAGCATTTGTTAAATAGACTGTCCTTGCGCCAGGGATTGGTTTTCGCTCCTTGGTCAAATATAAGTTGGTTGTAGAAGTTTGGATTGATTTCTGGTGTTTCTATTGTATTCCATTGGTCTATCCATCTGTTTCTGTACCAGTACCATGCTGTTTTGATTATAACTGCCCTGTAGTAGTATGTCTTTAACACTGATATTGTGATGCCTCCGGCTTTGTTTTTTGTTGTATGAGATTTTGTAAACTATTCAGGGTCTCATGTGCCTCCATATGAATTTCAGCATCATTTTTTCCAGATATGAGAAGAATGTCTTTGGTATTTTTATTTGTATTGCATTGAATCTGTAAATTGCTTTTGGAAGGATGGACATTTTGATGATACTGATTATTCCAATCCATGAACATGGATGATTTTTTCCATTTATTTGTATCTTCTTCTATTTCTTTATTTAATATTTTGTAATTCTCATCATAGATCTTTGACATCCTTGGTTAAATTTATTCTAAGGTATTTAATTTTTCTTGTAGCTATCGTGAATGAGATTGATCTTAGAAGTTCCTTCTCGGGGCCAGCACCATAGCACAGTAGGTTAATCCTCTGCATGTGGCACCAGCATCCCATATAGGTGCTGGTTCTAGTCCCATCTGCTCCACTTCCAATTCAGCTCTCTGCTATGGCCTGGGAAAGCAGTACAAGATGTTCAAGTCCTTGGGCCCCTGCACCCATGTGGCAGACCTGGTAGAAGCTCCTGGCTCCTGGTTCCTGGCTTCGGATTGGCACAGCTCCAGCTGTTGCAGCCAGTTGGGGAGTAAACAAACGGATGGAAGACCTTTCTCTCTCTCTCTTCCTCTCACTATCTGTAACTCTACCTCTCAAATAAATAAATAAAACCTTTAAAAAAAAGAGTTCTTTCTCATCCATGGCATTGTCTTTGTATACAAAGGCTGTTGATTTTGTGTATTGAGTTTATATCCTGCTACTTTACCAAACTCTTCTATGAGTTCCAGTAGTCTCTTAGCAGAGTCTTCTAGATGCTCTCTATATTTAGAATTATGTAGTCTGCAAAGAGAGATAGTTTGACTTCCCCCTTCCCAATTTGTATCCCTTTGATTTCTTTTTCTTGCCTAATGGCTCTGGCTAATACTTCGAGGACTATATTGAACCACAGTGTTGAAAGAGGGGATCCCTGTCTGTTACCGAATCTCAGTGGGAATGCTTCCAACTTTTCCCCACTCAGTAGGACACTGGCCATGGGTTTGTCATAAATTGCATTGATTGTGTTGAGGAATGTTCCTTCTTTACCCAATTTGTTAAGAGTTATCATCATGAAAGGGTGTTGTGTTTTATCAAGTGCTTTCTCTATATCTATTGAGATGAGCATATGGTTTTTGTTTAGCAGTTTGTTAATGTGCTGTATCACATTGATTAATTTGCAAATGTTGATCCATCCCTGTATAGCAGGGATAAATCCCACTTGGTCTGGGTGGATGATCTCTCTGAAGTGTTGTTGAATTCTATTGGATAGAATTTTGTTGAGGATTTTTACATCTGTGTTCATCAGAGAAATTGGTCTATAATTCTCTTTCTCTGTTGCATCTCTTTCAGGTTTAGGAATTAAGGTGATGCTGTCTTTATAGAATTTCAGAGGATTCTCTCCCTTTCAGTTGTTTTGAATCACTTGAGAAGAACTTAAACGTCTGGTAGAACTCAGCAGTGAAGCCATCTGGTCCTGGGGTTTTCTTAGTTGGGTGGGGCTTTATTACTGATTCAATTTCCGTCTTGGTTATGGGTCTATCTTCATGGCTCAATTTTAGGTAGGCTGTATGTGTCCAGGAATCTTTCCATTTCTTCTTGGTTTCCCAGTTAGCATACAGTTCTTTATAGTAATTTCTGATGATTCTTTTTATTTCTGTGATGTCTGTTGTTATATTTCCTTTTTCATCTCTAATTTTATTGATTTGGGTCTTCTTTCTCCTTTTTTTGGTTATTTGGGCCAATGGTGTGTCAATTTTGTTTATTTTTTCAAAACACCAGCTCTTCGTTTTGATGATCTTTTTTTACTTCAGATTCAATTTTGTTGATTTCTTCACTAATTGTAATTATTTCTTTTCTCCTCTTAGTTTTGTATTTGGTTTGCTGCTGTTTTTCTAGATCTTTGAGATCATTGATAGTTCATTTTTCGGGTGCCTTTCCAATTTCTTGATGTAGGCACCAAATGCTATAAACTTTCCTCTTAACACTGCTTTTGCTGTTTCCCCTAAGTTTTTTTTTTTGTTTGTTTTTTGTTTTTTGTTTTTTGGAAGG